CCATGGATACCTCTGTTTTGGGTGAGACAAACCATTCATTGAAAGAACCCGTAAGGTGTACCGTGAGTGACATTTGATTGATGGGAACGTATGTCTTCAGAGCCAGCCAACGCCGCCTTTCTTAAACGAATGGGATGCATCGTATAAAATGGTGGCATTGAAGAGCCAGTCAATGACATATCGGGAATGTAATGGCAATTTTAGTAATGTCTGCTGCTGACAATATAGAACCGCAACCAAATATTCTTATATGATTCTTGGAAAGTAAGACACATGTTTCTTACTAACTGAGGCAAACCAGTGTTGACAAAAGTTGCTATATTTCCATTTTTTTCATCATTTGGGAATTTCGGGTGGTCCACCCCTTTGCGTAAAGGTGCCACAACGTTCATAACATACAACCTGGCGGGTTGAAGCTGAAAGATAAGAATCATACTCGTCGATGATTTCCTGCTTAATAAAAGTCACCTAATACGACTTCCAAAATTTTGTTTGCCAGATCGACAAGCAAAAAGTAACACTTTGGGATCAGTGTAAAAGAGTTTGAAAAAATACGTTTTCTTCAGGAAAGAAGGAGACTTTAATTGTATAAATTACTTTCATTTATCATTTCAAAACTTTTACAATTTACCATGTAATCTACATTCTCAGTTTCACTTGTATTGAAAAAACTGATCTGAAAATTTGTTCTGACCGTCTCCCTAAATAATTCGATTTGCCTTTTATGCTTATCACCTGAATTTGAATTGTCTACATCGGCGAATAATCACATCCTGCTGTAGAATAAACCTTTTTTGTTGGAATAATCAGTGGCTTTTTTGAGTACATCACTGTAAGAGTGTATTGGAATGAAAATCCAATTTCATTGTATAAGTCAATCGCCGCTTGATTTTCAATGAAAGGATTCACTTCAATATCTGCTCCCTCAGGAACATGGTCAAGCATTTTTCTGATAAGTTCGTATCCCACCTCCTCAGTATCGGCATACGTTGGACAGAACTCCCACCCTTTCCAGGTTTCTTTAAGGGCTGCATAACCAATGACGTCTCCAGAACTGGATTCCACCGCCACGAAGACACAGGCTGCTTCACCAATGATGCATCTGTGAAAGATTGTTGTTCTCTTTATCGGATATGTCCGTGCATCGTATTTCTCCACTAGTTCCAAAGGGACGTCAGCTAATGGAAGAATGCGGAATTCAGTCCTCGGTAATGGCGATAGCTTTTGGTTGGATTTTGTCATGATCAGGCAGTGAACTTCTTGTAAAGGCTTGAAAACGTGAAGATTTTTCTCAGGTTTAAGTGCGGTGACAAAGGCATTTTTCTCTTGAACTCCTGTTAATACTGCACTTCTCAGTTTCCCACCGATCCCTTGACCTCTGTATTTCTCATCAAGAACAAACATTCCACCCTGATAGGTTGTGTTGTCCTCTTGCAAGAACATTTTGGAGCTACCTAGACGTGAAACAAAACTTTAAAATGTTATATTTGCAGTTATGTTAACGATACAGTGATTGAGAGAGCTTGGTTTAACGTCACTTTGGACAATGTGACACTTATATCACGAGGCATCAGTTTGGTGACGTAGGCCCCAGACGATTACAACAGCTCAGTGAAACCGACGAGCATACGAATAGCGATTCCAACCGCAAGAATGCCGCTGTCAATCACAATCACAACGAATCCTCGTGTGACCAAGGGACGCAACCCTGTACAGTAAATTACAGTATCTATATAACATGATAACGATACACGGAGAAACATATTATCCCTGAATCATATCAAACACCTACCTAAGTTTCTTTACAACAGCTTCAGATGAACAGACTAACCGAATCTTTGCTAAATGCATGTAAAAGGTTTTATATTTATTGAGTTAAAGCTTACACAATACAGACATAAATACACTGCAGAGATACATGTCATGGCAAGAAACTGTGATATGACTGTAGTTATAGCAATATTTCGCCTATATGTCATGGCAAGAAACTGTGATATGACTGTAGTTATAGCAATATTTCGCCTGTATGTCATGGCAAGAAACTATGATATGACTGTACTTATAGCAATATTTCGCCTGTATGTCATGGCAAGAAACTGTGATATGACTGTACTATGATATGACTGTAGGTTTATAGCAATATTTCGTCTGTATGTCATGGCAAGAAACTGTGATATGACTGTAGTTATAGCAATATATCGTCTGTATGTCATGGCAAGAAACTGTGATATGATTGTAGTTATAGCAATATTTCGCCTATATGTCATGGCAAGAAACTGTGATATGACTGTAGTTATAGCAATATATCTGTATGTCATGGCAAGAAACTGTGTGATATGACTGTAGTTATAGCAATATTTCACCTATATGTCATGGCAAGAAACTATGATACGACTGTACTTATAGCAATATTTCTCCTATATGTCATGGCAAGAAACTATGATATGACTGTAGTTATAGCAATATTTCACCTATATCCAGGGCACCAAATGAGCTTCACACAGAGGATTTGTTGGGGAATTGAACAATGGGCCTCGCGTTATTATTGGCAATGAAAACTAACAAAAACTAGCATAATTCGTCACAGAGACAACAATTGACTCACCAACGATCTTTCCATCTTTCTCTTCTGCTACCCACCAAGCCGAGTGATCGATATCAAAACACTTGAGCAGATATGGGAGTGAAATGGTCCAGCCTTCTTGTTTAGCCAGCTCAGCGACATGTTTCACTTCAGATCGACCAACCAAACGCCTGATCACAACACCTGCCATGGTAGTAATGTTGAAAACTCCTGTCCCCGTCTGGTACACACAACCTGCGGTATCACCTGAATGTATTTCAATGCTTGATTATGGCCTGATTTATGTAGAGGTTGTTGGGGAAGCTTGCCACAACAGGTTGATTGTTTGCTGTTTTCTACTATCTTTGAATTTGTGGTAGCCTTGGACAACGTGTACCGCATCGGTTCTTGACTGTGGCGTCGTTGCCTGTAACGTTGTAGTGTAAGTAGCTTCCAGGTGTCGGTACTACGAGGATCGTCCACCGCAGACTGGGCTGATGTTTCAATGTGGCCGGGGACAGGTGATTCACGTGCAACTATTGATTAGAACTAATATTACAAGGCCTTGAAGCAACTTTTGACTCACAATCGAACATTACAAGGCCTTGAAGCAACTTTGACTCACGAACGAACATTACAAGGCCTTTAAGCAACTTTTGACTCACAAACGAACATTACAAGGCCTTGAAGCAAGTTTTGACTCACGAACGAACATTACAAGGCCTTGAAGCAACTTTCACTCACAAACGATCCCGCAATCTCCAAAAGATTGATAAAATACATCTAACGTGTTCATGTATGTTATGTCATTTCGAGGACATAGATCGAATAAACTATAAGTACATTCTTCCATGAAGGTAGTGAAACATATCAGTCAGTGAGTTTAGTTTTACGCCGCTTTGAGCAATACTCCAGCAATATCACGGCGGGGGACACCAGAAATGGGCTGCACACATCGTACCCATGTGGGGAGTCCAACCCATGTCTTCGGCGTGAGGAGCGAATGCTTAACCACTTGGCTAACCCACCGCCCCGTGAAGCATATCAAGCACCTACAATATTCCGTATAAGTGTGTAACAAAAGCCTCAATTGAACAGACTAAGACATTCTTAGTTTACAGGCACATACACTTTCTTTATATTTGTGTGTTTACGCAATAGACATAAACACATCGCTGTGGCACAGGTCATGAAATTAAACTCTGGCATGACTGAATGAGGGACAGCAATATTCCACCGATAATGAGGACATGTGAGCACATGTGACATTTATGGGGAATTGAACTCCTACCTTCAACCCCAACTAATGATGACCCTTGAACATCCGGGCTACAACTGATCTTCAGCAAACCCATGCTTGTCGTAAGAGGAGACTAACGGGAGCGGGTGGTCAGGCTCGTTGACTTGGTTGACTCATGTCATCGTCTCCCAATTGCGTAGATCGATACTCATGCTGGTGATGAATTGATTGTCTGGCCCAGACTCGATTATTTACAGACTGCCGCTATATAGCTGGAATATTGCTGAGTGCGGCGTTAAACTAAACTTAATCAATCAACTACTGATGATAAAAGAACAAAGAGTTCACGAAGTTACCTCCAATACACAAGTAGTCATGGAAGCAACTGTTGGCTCTCACCAGTGATCCCGCCATCTTTCTTTCCGCCACCAACCTATCTGAGGGATTGGTATTATAACACTTAAAAAACAGATAGGGGATTGAACTTATCCAGCCTTCTTGTTTAGCCAGCTCAGGGACATGTTTCACTTCAGATCGTTCAACAAAGGTCTGATCGCAACACCTGCCATGGTGGTAACGTTAACAAAACCTGGACCAATCTTGGACACACAAACAGTAATCAGTACCTCTCTCCACTTCGTGACTCTTGAAGAGCGATGATTAAACAGAAAACAATTATGTGTATATGCGCAGAAAATTGCTAAAATATGATGATTTCACCATCAGTTCAGTCTTTAGCTTCAGACCTCTATCCTACATTAAATATGATTAGGAGATAAACATACTTTGTTGGAAAATCAGAAGTATATGACGAAATTTATATAGCTTTAAATATGATTTAAAACCGAACGCGTACCTCTGATTTTCCAACACAATGTGTTTATCTTCATTCTACCATAACCGCGTTATTAAGATTTTTAAGAAATACGTACTGTGCTGGAAAATCTGAGTGATTAATTATATCTGAATGACTATAACTACCCAATCATAATCCAGTATACACTGAAGTCATGATAGAATAATTTTCCCCCATGAGTAATCATCTTCATCATTGCAGTATTTTAAACTTAATTCACTTACATGCCGACTGATATCAAAATAGATCTGCTGTTAACATCAAGTAAATTCTGGTAGCTCGCTAAACAACAAGTTACGATAGCATGTCACTATTATCTTTTGTCTATTGAATAAAATAACTGTTAATTGTGAAGTTTTATTCAGACTCGTACATAAATTGGCGTCAAAGAAGCGCTTCTCTGGACAGTTGAAGGAACTCATGTTCCAGAAGGACGTGTTATTTTCACATTGTCGAAATCCGCGTATCCCAGTGATCCAGTTCCTACAGCCACAAAGCCTTGGTCCGGCTCAGCCGGGAGGTCAGAGTAGGTGAACACTGTTTTATTGTTGACCTTGCCCACCGCTGTTGTTCCCTGCAAAATGTGGAACACCACTGCATCCTAGGTAACATTCCACAGATAACATGGGACTTCCCACAGGTGTCGTTCCCGCATATATGTGTGATAACAGTCCTGTCCTGTCTGTGCTATCAGACTGGCAGTTACGTTATGCTTCAGATACTTATGTTTTAACTGTAAACAATTTTTGAAAGGGCAATTACACAATTCATGCCACATTTGTTACGTTCTCCTCTTCAAACATCAACTCCAACTGTATAAAATGACAACAAAGATATTAAGTAAGTAATTTATGGTTCATACAGCATTGCTCTTTGTCGAGAGAGAAGCATATAATGGAAATAGAATTGAGCTATTAAATTGCAGCTGGAAACAAATAACACAAACACAATGTTAGATGTGGTCTTAGGATCAGACAGAATACACACTAAGCAACCTACACTTACAAAGCACTGCGATATATTAGGTATTCTTAGGGCAGTGCACACGTTACACTGAAGGTACCACTGTTCGTGAAGCATGAAAACGATGACACATGGTTTGAGGAAAGCATGTCCTATCCCGCACATTACATCGATTAAATGTAATCAGTTGGTTTTAGTAATATGTTCTGTGGTCACCTAAATCTTATTTCAGAGGAAAGATCAGACTACCTTAACACATACAAATGTATTCAATAATGCGAGATATACTGAGAGAGGTTGTCACATGTACCTGACCATGTGAGAAGAAGCTGCTCAAGGTTCTTTAACTACAGTGAGCACGCAGTCCAAACTAATACTTACCTCAACATTCAAGGATATGTTGTTCCAACCTTTGGTGACGCCCCCTACTCCACCGCCTTGTAAAATGCTCTTTCGATCTGAAGTGAACGTCAGGGCAGTTACAGGGGAATATCCTTTCTTAGGACTTTCAGTAAATTATATACATCTGTACTTAACAAAAGATTAACATTTTCGGCATATACATACGTAAAGGTTGTAGAATTGGACAGTATTTTTATTCTACAATCTGTTATCCAACGTTATCTGTGAAAAAAAAGGGGAAGTTTTATGCTATATTTGTCGATTTCAAAAAGACTTTTGATTTTGTTAACAGGGATAAACTATGGACCATTCTCAAATATAGAGGCGTTTCACCTAAGATGCTTAAAGCTTTAACTTCTATCTATAAGTGTGTTAAGGGACGGGTGCGTGATATTTCTCTTTCTCGGTTGTTGCAGGGTTTACGACAAGGGTGTGTTTTAAGCCCACTATTGCTCTCATTTTTTATCAATAAATGCTTCAGAAATTGAATCTACATGTAATCCTGGTATACAGCTTCACCCTGATGTTGTACAATTGTTTTTGCTACTTTTTGCTGATAATATTGTACTTTTTGCAGACTCTGTATTTGGTTTACAAAAAAGTATACATATATTCATGGAATCGAATACGGGAACACATGAAAGTACAAGTGTTCCTTTATTCCTTTCCATGTTTCTTCACAAGGTATGTATTGCACTGTGGGTGAAAGTCTGGAAATAAATGAAGGAACACTTGTACTTTCATGTGTTCCCGTATTCGTTTCCAAGAGTATATTTTAGAAAGTGTCTGTTAAAGTCATTAACTAACTGTTAACTTGGGGAAAAACAAGATTGTTGTATTTAAAAATGGTTGTTAATTATCAAACTATGAAAAATGGCATTTCAATGGAATTCTTTTGGAAACTGTTTCATCTTAAAAATATTTGGGTATTTTATTTGGGCGTTCTCTATCTTGGTCTCCCCATGTGAATAACGCTGCTTTGCAAGCTAAGAAATTGCACATGGTATTCTACAATCTCTTTTCACGTTTAAACCATTTCCTTATGATTTATTTTTTAAGATATTTGATACCTAAATTAGTCCAATTCTATTGTATGGAGCTGAAATCTGGGGAGTTGATAAATTTAAAGAAGTCGAAGTTGTACATGTGTTTTGTTGTAAACGGGTTTTAAATGTCAAACGGTCGATTTCGAACCAAGTGGTTAGGAGAGAATGTGGCCGTTATCCAATGTATATATGTTTACATAAAAGAAAAACTGTTTTAAAAAAATAAGAATATTCTTTATTCTTTTGGATCTGGCTTTATGTGGAAACAAAAGCAAAATTTATATAATGTTGATAAATTCATATCAGAATTTGTTTTTAGACTGAGAGCAAGTTATGAACAAGAATGGCGTACATAGTTTGTAAAAAGTCCTAAATTTTCACTTTATTCTTGTTTTATAATCTCATTTAATGTTGAATTTTACATAAAGGATTTATCAATTTAAAAATTCCGACCGGCCCTCGCTAAATTCAGATGTTCTTCACACCGCCTCCAAAATTGGAACCAGTCGATATATTAATGAATAGATTATGTTTTGTATGCAAAGATAACTTTATTGAAAACGAATTTCATTTTATTTTGGTATGTAAATGTTATCAAAATCTGAGATGTTTGTATTTCTATTCAAATCCCACTATTCATAAGTTTAATATGCTCATGTCAAATATATTGACATGCTCATGTCAGATATTGTAAAAACAAATAGCTATTTATATACACAATGCATTAACTCCTATGCCAATACTATCATATTTCCTTCTGTATATTTGTAATTTAACGTATTGTCTTTTGAACTATATACATGTATGCAGATATGTATCGCTCTGTAATCCTGAAATGTAGCCTGGGCCTATGGCCTCCACTACAAAGAAATAAAGACTGACTGATAGACTACTATCTGAACTTAATAAACAATATAAAATGAAAGGAAAACTGCATCAACTGAGCATATATGAATTGACTGGCCTTCATAAATTGTTCACGAACTTTCTAAACAAAACACGTAAAACACAACTGTCAAGCATTCATCTTTCAAGATCAGTATCTGCAAATGAGGACCTTCACCCTTCAAATGGAACAGGGGAGGGGTGGGGGGGGGGACTCACCCAAAGTAGGGGCGAGTTGATAGGTGTTATCTTGGGGGTAGAAAAAGAAAAACACGCCCTGTGATGAGTTGGTCTTGCATCCTCTCTTTGAGACCCTGGCAGCAATGAAGACTCCTTTGGACGCATCCGTACCATCATCATACACATCAGCCTCCACGTAAATGTGCGTCCTGGAACACATGTACACACAGCAAGGTGTAGTTTGACGGAATGTTCATTGGTCCAAATTTCTAAAGCATTACAAAGATTACATCTTAAACACAGACACCGATTTTACGTGGACATTACAGAGAGAGCGTTTGTCATTTTGTTTAACACCGCACTCAGCAATATTCCAGCTATATGGCGGACGTCTGTAAATAAACGAGTCTCGGCCAGACAATCCAGCATCAGAATCGATCTACGAAATTGGGGTACGATTTCATACATCAACCAAGTCAGTAAGCCTTAGCACCCGATTCCGTTAGTCGGCTCATGGGTTGCTGGAGAGTTCTTCCAGCCATTATCTTCACGGATGCAACGAGGGAGAAAGAGTGAGTGGTCAATGCTACATATAATTTACATAACATATACTCAGCAGCAAAAAAAAGGTCAGTACGAATTCAAAATTAGATAGGCACTGTAATCAAATCATTACAGAAATGGACATAATAAGAGGATCAAAAACATTTTTTGTGTACAATATCTTGACACATCAATGAATAACTCAGCACAATTCCAAGATATTACGTGAACGTTTGCAGCCCATTCAGACTCTTGACTTCAGTATCTAATGTGACCACCACGAGTGGCAATAACTGCCAGCACAGCGTCTATGCATGGAGTGCACCAATCGATTGATAAAGCCCATTGGCATCTGGAACCTCATTCTGAGAAAGGCCTGGCGCAATAAATCGGCTGTGTTCGGCCTTGGTATGACATTATTCAGTCTCTTCTGAATTTCATCCCAAAGATGTTCAATTGGGTTTAAATCAGGACTAAGGGCTGGCCACTGTATAATGTTGACACCGTAGGAAGTCCCATGTAGCTGTGGCAGTATGGGCCCGGGCGTTATCATGCTGGAAAATGTTGTTCCGGTGACGTGCGAAATGTGGTACTACGTGGGGTCTGAGAGCTTGGTTGATGTAGCGCACCACTGTGATGCCGCCATCTCTCCCTGGACAAAGGTTCTGGAACACCACAGGACCCACTCTCTGGTTCAGGCCTATTCTATCCCATACCATGATGCTTGCACCTTCCCATGAGTCTCTTTCCATAACACATTGGTCTAAGTAACGCTGGCCACGTCGTCGCCATATTCTTGTTCTGCCATCTGCAGTTTATAAGCAGTATCGACTCTCATCTGTGAACAGAACAGTTCTCCATTGCCTGTATCGCCAGTTTTGGTGTTGTAGGGCAAACTGTAGACGTTCACGCTGATGACGAGGGATGAGGATAGGTCCACGGTAAGGTCTACGGCAATGGAGGTTCCCGCTGTTAAGACGTCGGCGTACTGTATCATTACTGATTGGTCTTCCGTGTGTTCCCACTGTCTGGCATGCTGTTTCGGATGCCTGCATGAAGGGATTCTGTACATGCTGTCGCACAACATGGCGGTCTTGTCGTCTTGTGGTCACCCTTCGTCTGCCAGTACAGGGGCGATCATTTTTGGTGTTGGTGGCCCGGAAAACGTAGCTGCAGCCTGTAGATGGTCCGAACGTTGACCTGGAAGTGATTGGCAACGGCTTGTGCAGTGTGGCCAGCTTCAAGTCTTCCTGGCGCCTGGTTCTTCTGAGCTGTCGTGAGTCGCGACATCCTGCTGACGTTGTAATGTGAATGTTTCAACCAGGTTAGGGCTGGTCCTTGTCAACAGCACATGCAGCATGAGTTGCATGAAAAACATGGAGAACTCCGTACGATCTCCGAGATCAGGTTGCGTTTGTGAGACCATTTCCTGGGTTTGGGAAGGAATGCTCAGGTATAGTTGGAGATGTTGTCAAAATATACAATCGAAACATTAAATGAGTTTACAGTGATCCGTTTCTGAGAAGGAAAATTCCAAACTAACGTTTCTTTTGCTGCTTAGTATATATGCATATTGACGTGCTTAACGATAGGGGTTCTTCTCTTATACCTAGGATATAATGGTGAATATATTTATTGAAGAACATTTCAAAATCCACGTGGTTGATAGATTGCCTCGAGAAAGCTGTCATACAATCTGGCACCAAATGCTCCGAATGCTAATCATGGTGATGAAAGTTATATCTCACGATTGATCATGGTATGAGCGAGTTCACTACTTCGTTGTACCTACATGTATCATTAAAAATGTACCATTTGGATTCCCAGTTGTTGGAAAATTGTTACTATACAAGTGATTTCGGTTATCTACAGTTCATCACCAATGACAATACGTTTGCTTCTCTTTTTACACTAAACAAATATATTTCACGTTTCCGTCGTGACTTCAATGAGATGTAGACACTGCCGGGTGTGTCTACGTGTATTACCAGTTAGTATTTCCGATTATAGCTATCCCTGCTGCAGTCTGGTTACAAAAGGGAATGGTCATCCTCAGGGTCATCTGGCGCATCACCTGACCATGGCTTCCCCCAGCTTGGTGAACTTCAAATGATCCGATCTGCTGTGCAAACAGATATGGCTCCTCGTCTATTCTGTAACCTGACAAAATAACATAAATGACAAAAAGTCAATGTACACAGTGAATAAATATGGGATTGACACAGCCAAAAACCCAGTTCTCGTGATTTGCTGTCTTTAGGACAAGCAAACAAGGCCATTTTGGAAATGGTCTGCCCTTGAATGTGTGCCTCATAAGGACCATCACAAGGGTCCAAGCAGAAAACGGACAGAAACAATATCCAATGGTATGGCTATTTGTTTTCTTAAGGGAACAGACGGAATGGTAAGCATGCAGTTACTAGTCATTATAAATATTTGACACAGCCAAAAACCCAGTTATTAGCTGTGCAAACAAATATGGCTCCTCGTCTATTCTATGGAAATAACAGAAATGACAGAAAGGTGTTATTTCACTTGTAATACAAGTTTAATGTACACAGTGAATGAATAAAGAATGGACACAGCCGATAACGTGGTTTTAGAATTTTACAGACCTGGTATGCAAGGCAACTAACTGTGGACTAATAATGCTAGAACGTTCTCTCGTGTAGACATGATCCAAGTGTTTCGACATTCGTCCTGGCAATCTGGTTCTCGTGATTTGCTGTCTTTAGGACAAGCAAACAAGGACATTTTGGAAATGGTCTGCCCTTGAATGTGTGCCTCATAAGGACCATCACAAGGGTCCAAGCAGAAAACGGACAGAAACAATATCCAATGGTATGGCTATTTTTTTTTCTTAAGGGAACAGACGGAATGGTACCAGCATGCAGTTACTAGTCATTATAGATATTTGAGAAAAGTCTACAATCTATCTAATCTTACTTTCGAAGTCCTGTGTGTACGGCAGTGGGAAGGGTTTAGATGGAGGAGGTGTTGGGTATTGTCCCTTCCTGCCGTGGCCGAGAGTGGTCAGAGTGAGAAGCTGGTTCACGCCAAGGTACACGTCCAAACGGTTGTTCAAAACCTTCAAGAAACACCAACTTAACATCACATTCTTAAACATCCATATGGCGGTGTAGTTATAATGTATTTACGATAGTGCTCATGCCTTTGTAACGGTAAACCGTCAGTGAGAAATGGTATTAACTTCATGAAGCTAAGAAGGTTCACCCTTCACCCGGGAGACAGAGTCAAATACAATTCAGCCGTAATATATTTTAAAGATGAGTCGGTCAGTGAATTGTATTTTGCGACGTTGTTAATTACATACTGTTCCGCAGTAGATGCCTTTAGTCAGCGATAATCTTTGGCCGCGCAAAATAGAGCGGTTGACAGATGAGTTAACGACCAATATTCTTGGGGGAACAATGGCGGAATATGTCCCAGATGACGCAAAGCATAAACGGGTATATCTGAACTGAATGCAGAATCCGACAGTCGCAAGAGATGTTTTCACAACTCAACATGGAAGTAGTTGAGCAGTCATTGTTTATCAAGTTAACCATGGGGTTTATTTCTATAAGGGATGAGACCAAATATTTTCTATATCCGATTCCCTTCAATTTGAAGATGACTAAAGTAAGAAGACATACCACTATGGGAGGCAACTGTTTGAAGATGGTTGGTTCCCCGGGAGCGTGCAGCTGTGTGAAGAACGGGTTGAAGTGGGTTATACCAGCCTGGAAAATAACCCAAAGTGAGGTCTTTAAACCTTGTCCATATTGTCAATATGGTGACTCAATGCTTATATGTATACTTATATGAACATGGAGCAATACAAGTTTTGTCGCAGTGTATTGCATGGTTGGTTGGTTGGTTGGTTGGTTGGTTGGTTGGTTTGTTGGTTGGTTTGTTGGTTGGATGGATGGGTGTGTTTATGTGGGGTTGGGGGCAATTGTACTAAGTATGACTCTACTATTGTATGTATGTATGTATGTGTGTATGTGTGTGTGTGTGTGTGTGTGTGTGTCTGTCTGTCTGTCTGCCTGTCTGTGTGTGTGTATGTTTGTATGTGTGTGTGTGTGTGTGTGTGTGTGTGTGTGTGTGTGTGTGTGTGTGTGTGTGTGTGTGTGTGTGTGTGTGTGTGTGTGTGTGTGTGTGTGTGTGTGGTGGTGGTGGTGGGGTATGTGTGTACGTTCGCGTGCGTGTGTGTATGTATGTAGGTATGTTCATGTATGTATGTATCGTCTGTATGTATGTACGTAAAAACATTTTGTAACCATTAAATTCACTTTATTTATATATGTATATGTATATATACATATATACTGAAAGGCAAAAGAAACGTCGTAATATTAGAAATGACATTTGAGTATCAATGGAGTATTTGAACCTATTTTTTTAAATATACACCAGAAGTCAAGTTTGAGGAAACATGAATCGTGGTCGTATAGCCTGCATTGCCCAATAAAGTATTGTTTGAGATTGAAGTTAGAAATGTTTTTGTTTTTTGGAGAGGGAAAAGTTCCCACAAACACAACATTGAAATCGAGATGCACGTGCATCATAAATGCATTCAGGCATAAATTGCCGGCTTGAATGGCAATCGTTCACTTGTTTTCTGAACACAGCAGCTATGACTAGGTTAACGAGAGATCAACCACAACAAGCTATTGGACGTCTGCACGCTGGTCAACATGCTCGAGTCATTGCTAATGACTTCAGTTGCAGCGTACGAACGATAGAACGTCTTAGAGTGCGATACAACGCCACCACCAGCACTGATGACCGTCCACGTAGTGGTCAACCCCGTGTAACAACACGACGCCAGGACCGTCATATCGTCCATCAACACGTGCAAGACCTATTCGCAAGGGCCAGATAAACAGCTTGGGTGACCATAGGAAACCACCAGCGACCAGTCACCCAACGTCACCGCCAGGAACGTATCCAAGTGGACACAACAGCGGCAAAACTGTCGTGGGGGACAATGGAGAGGGGTTATCTTCTCTGATGAAAGTCGGTACTGCATTTCAGTCGCGTATTATTTAAAAAAAATAGGTTCAAATGTTCCATTGATACTTAAATGTCATTTCCAATATTACATTTCTTTTGCCTTTCAGTATATATATATATTCAAGTAATCTAGTGTCTCGTAGGCCAATTGGCCGGGTGCTGTTTTAAATGAATTATAATCATGACTATATATTCTGTAACACAGCATGTGACATTTTAATAAAATAACTTTCTCTCTCTTCTCTGTATACTTATATGAGCATGGAGCGATAAAAGTTTTGTCGCAGTGTATTGCGGCGTTTGTCTGTATAGTGTTTAGTTGCAGTACACACCAAACTTCCATCAAAGACGAGAGTGATGTTCTGAGGCGAGACGTCATACCATGGGATAGATTTGGGGTTCCAACACACGGATCCATCATGACTCTGAAATACAAGCCGTCGTAAATATTTTTACCTTCGTCATGTCTTCGTGTTACAGAGGCCAACAAAATGAACTCTGGGTCCCGATCCACAAAGCGTTCGTAACTTTACGACCTGTCGTAACTCTATAGTTTATCATAGGCTTACGAGTGTAGTAGCTCTACGAACGTTTTGTGGATCTGGACCATGAGATTTGGGTAACGACAGGATATCACTTCAATACTAGGGATGCCACACGCCGATTTCGTTACCGTGTTTGCATGCAAACCTTGAGCAAATGTACCATATATATATGTTAGGTAAACTTATGTAAAAATGATTTTAAAAGTTTCCAAGACTTGGGGTATTTTTTATCCTAACATTTCCTAGCTAGACTTGGTAGATGTAGTTTCTCTGCAATCATGTATGAAAAACATCTTGGGTTGCGGACTTGCTCATGGTTAGATTTTCACTTGAAGTTTCAAAATGGCCAGTTAACACGACTATAGCAGTGGACCTCATCCTTATTATCACGTATCCTTTCTTATTTCGTTCAGTTCTGTTAACATATATGTCGCAAGAATATGTAACAATCAAAACACCTCCAATATATATGTGAAATATATATCAATAAATAATCACAGTTTGCTTGGTGGCATCTAACTGACAATTTTATGAACTCTCTCGTTCGTTATGAGGATTTGAATCTAAACATCAGACCTCTTTACCATTGTCTCAATAATGATGGTGAAATCCTTGCCGTCGGGACTGACCAGTGCTACATAGCTTCCTCCGCGAGACAGTTTCCCAGCACCAGAACCGTGCTTCAGATATCTCCATCCAATTCTGGTAAACTGTGTTGTGTGGGCTAAAACATATATTGAATGTAATTAATTCATACAGTTAACACATCTACAAACAAATAGCAAGTGAAAACCCTGCTTTTAATTACACCTTGGTACAGCTGTGATAAACTGTCTAGGGAAAACATATTATATTTTTAATCTGCATGAGGACCAAAGGCAAATGCATCTTGATAGAACCAATGTATTAACCAGTAGGAAAGCACGAAGGCAGCTGTAGGTAATGTCATAATGAGATTTGTTTTAAATTACATAATAATCCTTTGAAATATGTCAGTGGGGATGATATAATTCTCCCGGATATGTCAAATGGCAGTAAGGTATGATTTTTCTCAGTGCCAGTTAGACGCTGCCACCAATACCATAACACAACATACCTGTAACCCAGATAGGACTGGACACTTCATAATTACCACTCCAAGGTTCAAAAGCGTTCATCAAACCGTGATCAAAGTAAGGTAGCGCATAATACCAACTGGTTGTCAACGCCCAGGCAATGCAGCTACCACAAACAGAGATGTACAAGGTATTACAGGTTCAAGGATTGGACTGACATTACATCTATAGTTAAAGTGTGATTGAAATCAAATGTGATTGTGTTTATGCTTATGCTTATTATTCAAGAGCTGGCATAATAACACTGTACATCTAATTATTTCCCTAGCACGATAACAGACACTATGGCTTATAATTAACGTGTTCTTACCCTGTCACATTTCCATTTACATAGTTTTGATTAAGTGTCTGCAAAAGGAAAAATACAAACGTGATATTAACTCCGAACGTGATTATAAGCCACAACATAACGCCTTCGAGCAAAGATTTACATGCAAGAATACGTATGTTGATTGCTCAGGGTGATTACTCATCCTCTCGATTGTTGCAGTGGATGAGTAAAATGACAAATACCATCGAAACGTTTTCCTCTCATCTCAGCAAATTCTTTTCCGGAAGAACTATCTAACAAAAAAGTATACGCCCATGTTTTGATGCTGGCTAATATTGACCAATAAGAATGGTTATTCCAAGGTGATGCACTATTATTTGACAAAGATATCAGAGTTGGACAATAGGTTTGAAGTTGGAATAAGAATGTTTGAAGCTGTTTGGTCAAATCCAGTATTCAAGTCCAAAACTTCTTTAGCAGAGCATTAAACTATACACATGTTGATCAGCTTCAATCTTTACTGCGAATGTAAAAAGCTATGTGTCAAACAAAGTTCCAGTATTTATTTAAACAGACACCAAATATAATTCATCATTGATGAAGATGACCCACCCTGGCCCAGCATCCCGCTCCCGTCTGGTTGTTGGGGGTACTGTAGTCCTCTGACGCCCAAAGTGGCTTCCCCGTGGCGATGGCAGATGGGGTGGAAAATGTCCCAGGGTGGTGAACCCTGCAACCAAACATTATTATCACGAAAAATATAATCATAAGACATTGGTTCAAAACCCGAAATAGAGGAGAGAAAACGTTTGAATGACCAGCGAATACCTAGCGTCCTTTTTACTATTAATTCTAAGAACAATTTCATCATTTTTGGTGGAATCCTTTGACGGTGATGCTGGTATGGCAATGCTCTATTTCACAAAAGGAGATTAATATCGATGATCACGATGGCTGGCTGTCTCAGTGTGTCATCGTACCCCGATGGTTGTACATGTCAACTACTATCTACCCTATTCCATAAACTGCCGCTGCCAACTGTGGGTCTGCAAGTATGTCTGCTGTTAATGTTGACCAGGAGATATTACTGCCATCATCTGCAGCGATGACCTTTGTGTTCTGTAAACCATTTGCATCAAGGTTCTTCCTCAAAGACTGAAAAACACACATATCATGTATATAATACATTCATCATTGAAAGATGCAACTATTGAAAACAACTTTGTTTTATCACACTGAGAACATTATTACCTCAAATAAGGTATACATACCTTAATATATGTTGTGTTGTACAACCTCTCATTCCAGATCTAACAATGAAACAATGTACATCAATATATCATTTCTTTTCAACAATAGGGCATGAACATGTGTATGCCGACAGAACGGCACCATGGGAACAGACACAGAACAGCTAAATGTACATAACATTACACATAATAATACAGTTTAACCATAACAATGCAGTAATTATTTTAATTATAACATGTCATTACAATCTAAGTAATTGTTGTATATACATACCCCAACGTAATCCACTGTTATATTGTGGTGAACTTTAGCCCCCATTACCCACTTGACGACGTACATAGCTGTCCGATCAGGGTCAACATAGATATTCCCGGTGCTTCCTCCAACCCAGCCAGGGAATCCCCACGGGAGCCCATATATCTTTATGTCTGGATTACGCTGTAGAAGTTAGAGGAATTAAAAGTGTTTGTTATGGGAGTTTGTATTTCTGCACAATAACAAACTGTGTTCTACTTCCTGGATGTATCAGCTGAGTACATATCTTGTATATATCTTGAGTTCATTTCATTTGAACGGTCCAGTAATGAAGAATATCTACCCGGTTCGTGTTTCATCTGAAGTTTCAAAAGAAAGAACCATCTCTTCAATGTTTAAATGATGATGTTTTGAAATATTACTTTGTTACTTTAAAAACGTCATTGAAGGAGTCGGTGATCTGGGATAATTATTGATCTAATAATGACATATATGTACTATGTTATAGAGCGTCATGTTTATTTTTACATATGATCGTTATTGTCAGGCCGGTGTTGCATAAGTTGGTCATGTCCAGCTAAACCGAACTGACTGATACTATCAGTTCGTCAGTTACTACGATCACGTAGTATATTCTCATTTCCCATCAGCCAAGACACCACCTTCACTATATCCGACTTCGTTACATCCGGAGTTGTACCTTCTTCGCCTCCAGCATGAGCCACCATTCATAACCCCGGTCATAGTTCTCCTCGTCCGGTGTTCTCATGTGGGTGGACTCGGTTCCATCTAAATGACATATATACATGTAGCGTGAGTTTAGGCTGTTGTAATGTATTTACCCGCATACAAAACATATCCAACAAACATGTGTCATATACCGTCCTTTTCGGAGAAATGTGCTATCGTTTCTAATTAGACTTACTGTTAAAACGAATTACAGGCAAATCCACTTCCATGTAAGCTATTTTAAGTCTATGGTTAGTAGGAGAACAGAACAAATAGCCACTGGCACAATTAGATATATAGTCTTTTTGTAGGATACTCTACCTGTGCTTTGGGTGTCACTCCCAATTTCGACTTTAAGAATATGAAACGAAGCTCCGAAGTTCGGCTGAAAAGTGAGCGGAGCAAATGTTCAACAATATTCCAATATTGAGATACTATGTACGTACATGTATATGTTTTACAGAAGCCTACCCCCTTTATGCGGTTCTTGGGGCTGTTAGGTAGCCTAATGGTTAAAGCCTTCGGTCGTCACGCCGAAGACTCGGGTTCGATTCCCCACATGGGTACAATGTATGAAGCCCATTTTTGGTGTCCGTGATATTGCCGGAATATTGCTAAAAGCGGCGTAAAACCATACTAACTCACTCACTCACTCATTTATGCGGTTCTTGGATCAGAGCAATGTTAGGACTATAATGGTTGGTTTACCTTGAACAAGTAATCCAGAATCTCATTTCTTTGCTGTTCAGGGTATCCAACAAGTAGTTTTGACGTTGCCTGCAAGAAGATACACTTAATGTTATGACAGAGGTAGCCTGACAGAGCTGCAAGGTTGAATGTTTATGAGATTTCGTTTCACGTAGTGACGTAGTACTGTGTTATTGTTTTTATGTAGATTTACCTTGCGATCTGCAAAATCGCGTGGTATCCAGATGGCATCAAAAAACGTTCATGCACGTGCCTTAAAAACCAGAGGCTGATTGTATGAGTAACAAGTTAAGTTAAAGGTGACTAGCTGGTCAGTCATTGCTCACCCAAACCACAAACTATCCAGTCTAAATGCTGATGAATCCCAAATCATAACTATTGTCCGTATATCCATTTGAGGAAAAGTCCAAGTATGTAGAACAGTTTGACAGAAATGTTTACCACAGTACATACACTGTGTAGAATGTCAGGAAGAGCGCCTTACCCCACCTCCGCTAATGGCTCCTATCCCATCAAATACACGGCCCAGACCAGGAGTGTCGTCAAAAGTGTACATCTCAAACGAAGAACCGGATTTCCATAGGATTAAGCTTAATACCGATGTTAATAACATGTCCACGGTGAAACGAAACTTGAACATTGCTGAGAACTTGAGGTATAAACAAAGGTTTACTTGTATATGTTCCTGGCTGCCTCGGTACGAGGTCTTATACTTGTTTCCTTATCACACTCTTATCTACCGCTACAAAACAGCTGCTACGTCAGTAACTGTCTCCTTTCCTTTAAAACACAACAACAGCTACGACATTATGTAACAGGGTATGTTTCCACTGGTTTACTGGGCCCAGTATCGAGTATTGTCAAGTCATCACTTTAAAGTCAGTTAGTTGTACACATTTACATGTAGTATATTGGTCACACCCAGATGAGTCTGTGGTCCCAAAACACCAATGACATAAATCTCAAGGGCTGTTTGTCTCTTCTTTGCTAAAGGCGAGCATATTATACAAATATTGTGTTACCTTTAATCATAGCCAGTATCATTGTTATTACTGGTGAATAAGATATCTTAAATTACTGACACTCAAATTGATTGATTAGAATGATTTGCAAAATGGACGTCGTCACCATTGCATGATAGGACTGAAGTCACCTCCCTGTGGCGTCCCGTTGACAATGAACCTTTTACCAGGCAGGACCGCGTTTCACAAAGCGATGAAAACGCTACGATTATCGTATCTCCCATACTTTAACATAGACTTAAGACAGTCGTAGCATTACGATCGCTTTGAGGAACGGGGCCCTGGGCGGGAACATGAAGTTAGAAACGGATTTGGAATTTGGGATTCGAATCCCGAATCTGAATATTTTTTTCACATTTGGGATTCGAATCCCGAATCTGAATATTTTGGGATTCGAATCCCGAATCTGAATATTTTTTTCCATATTCGGGTTTTGCACATTCGACACTCGGCGTTCGGTATTTGAACTCTTATATTTCATCCCCCTTCTAAAGTACTAGGTGCTCGTTGTATACCTACGTAACTACAGTTTCCGATATTTCAACCTCAAATCTGAGTTTTCTCAACATTCGGGTTTCGGGATTTGAATCCCGAATCTGAATATCTTTTCCATATTCGGGATTCGAATCCCGAATCTGAATTTTTTTCGTAGTTTGCAGGTTTCATTACATCACACAACCTCACTGATGGGGCAGTAGCTTCACATGTCACCACCTAACTTTAGTGATAAAAATGCAAGTTTTTTCAAACATACATTAGTCTCCACAAACCCGTATTTAGAAATACTATGTTTAGTTGGAAAATGCCAAACTTCATCCCTTCGTTCATTCATCATGCATTCATTCATTGGTTCCTCTGACTGGTTCTATAATGTAGGATGGGTGACTTATTGGACGTTTTTGCTGAAGGAAGAAATAACGTTTTTGAGGTTTTATTTTGCTTACATGTACAATATTGGGGAGTTCGAATTCCGAATTTTGACAAGTGAAGATGCAAAGAGTATAGTTACAAGGGCGGTGAAGTTCCGAATTCCAAGTGTGTTAATACCCGTGAAGGTGCGGGTTAGAATTGGCCTTCGGTAAACCATGCTTGTTGGTAGAGGCGACTAACGGGATCGGGTGGTCAGGCTCGCTGGCTTGGTTGACACGTGTCATCGGTTCCCCATTGCGCATATCGATGCTCATGCTGTTTATCACTGGCTTGTCTGGTCCAGACTCGATTATTTACCAACCGCCCCCATATAACTGGAATATTGCTGAGTGCGGCGTAAAACTAAACTCACTCACTCACTCTCCAAATGTGTTAATGAAATGCATGATAAGAGTTCAAATACCAAATACCGAATGCCCAATGGCGAGTGCCGAATGTGCAAAAGAAAAAACTGAACGTGAACAAAATGCAGATTCGCGATTCGAATCCCGAATATGAAAAAAAAATTCCGATTCATCATTCGAATACCAAATGTGAAAAAATATTCAGATTCGGGATTCAAATCCCGAAACCCGAATGTTGAGAAAACTCAGATATATTTGAGGTTGAAATATCGGAAACTGTAGTTACCCAGGTATACAACGAGCACCTAGTACTTTACAAGGGGGATGAAATATAAGAGTTCAAATACCGAATGCCGAGTGTCGAATGTGCAAAAATACCGAACCTAAAAATATTCAGATTCGGGATTCGAATCCCGAATATGGAAAAAATATTGAGATTCGGGATTCAAATCCCAAATATGAAAAAAAAATCAGATTCGGGATTCGAATCCCGAATATGGCAAAAATATTCAGATTCGGGATCGAATCCCGAATGTGAACAAAAACTTCAGATTCATCATTCGAATCCCAAATGTGAAAAAATATTCAGATTCGGGATTCGAATCCCCAATCCCCAATCCGTTTCTAACTTCATGTTCCCGCCCTGGGCCGGGTTTCTCAAAGCGATCATGGCGCTACGATTATCGTATCTCTTATGCTTTAACACAGGGTTACGACAGTCGTAGCGCTGAGGTCACATTGTAAAACCGGGCACAGATCTGGACCTACAGAGTTTCAATAGTTCTTTCAAGAAAAACGAATAACCGTCTTTTCAACTAGCTGCTGACCCGCTCGTAAAAATGCAGTTCCGAAACTATTGCCCTCGCCTTATTTCTAAAATCATGAATCATTTTAATGTCGACGAATACATTTATATTGACCTCTTCACTCTTATAAAATGGTTTTACTTAGTTTCATTGTCTGATATTGGATAGAGATGACCTCTATTATACATCTCCTGAGAAAATGGTATGAACTTTTCACGTGACCTCAGTGTGACTGATCTCGCTGTTATTGCTGTAGTAAAGCTGTTATCAGCAGGTGATAAATACCCGATGTAGGACATATACCTGTTATTAACATTGTAAGCAGGCCGATATCAATATTTGACTGTCGACTCATTCAGTAGTCGGAATATCACCATCACCTTATGAGCACGTGCTTCAAGGTCATGTCTTTACCCACAAAATACGATCAGAAGAACAAACTACCAAAGCGGATTTTGAAATAATGTTGTTTGTTTAACTCCATGCTTAACAGTTTTCCAGCTGTAGGTTGTTCACATTATGAGCGTCGATCAAGGCCGTCGGGGGGGATAACACGACATCAGCAGCCGAAGCACCGAGTGTTAACACGTGATTTATTTCCATGGTAGAGTGAAGATTACAATCCACGAGAAGTTACCAAGGTCAATGACTCAGATGAATTAATAGTCGTAGCTTTGACACGAGGAAATAAGTCAAAAGGGTTTTGAAAAGACCCAAAATGTTCATTCTGTAAGTGAGTGCAGAGGTTATTTACTGAGAAGTTGAATGATATTTACAAATGTTATCTGTCATGTCATGTGATTTACATGTCACGTATTCTGTGCTCCACTCACTGTTTAAACTTAAAAAACCCGTGACGATCCGGGTTAGAATTGATCTTCAGCTACCCGCGTCTGTCGTGAGATTAGATCGGGTGGTGAGGCTCGTTGACTTGGTTGACACATGTCATCGTATCCCACTTGTGTAGAGACCGCCTCCGTGGTGTAGTGGTTAGAGCGTCCGCACGGAGAGCGGAAGGTCGCGGGTTCGATCCCCGACCGCGTCATACCAAAAGACGTTAAAATATGGTCCCTGCCTGGCGCTCGGCATAAATGGGTACAACAAGGACTGGTCGGCTCGGAGTCAGTATAATGTGTCTGAGTGGGGTATTCATGCTTCACTGCGGCATGGTATCTCAGTGGGCTAGCACTATAAACCAGCTTAAGTCTGGGCTAGTACAAGCAGCCGCAGATACACATACACACGCATGCACGTCGTCATATGAGCGAAATATTCTCGAAAGCACGACGTTAAACCCAATTTCACCTCACCTTTCAGATCGTTGCTCATGTTGTTAATAAATTGAATGTCTGGTTCAGACTGTATTGATTACAGACCGCCGCCATATAGCTGGAATATTGCTGAGTGCGGCGTTAAACACCAAACCAGCAAACCAGCTGCAGCCAACCAGCCAACCAGCCAACCAGCCATTGAAACATGTCTTATTAACTTGTGTCATCACAATTCTAAATACCATTCATGGAGAACTGCCTGTAGATGCATACCGAAAGACCTTTGTGCCAAGACGGAGAACACCAAACTCGTACTGACTCCTGTGTTGACTTAGAACCAACTAAACCGGAAGGAACTATATTTGTACTTTTCATTTTTTTATTCAGTAGTTAGAAAAGAATACCAGTCGTTATAAAGAATACCAGTCCTGGTATTGAAGAGATTTTACCGAAATGTATAGGTGACCCAATTAAGGCAACCTTTTTAAAAACTGTTAGCCATGACCAGTTCGGCACACACTTTTCCGTCAGGAGAAATAGTCCACACAACAATCACAATCATGGAAAGGTCGCACATATGTCATTAAGAAATTTAAACTTATAATTTAGTGTCATGTCATGTCTCACTGTTGACATGGGTTAATGAATGTCACTGAATGGTTTGCTGCGGGAAACAATTCAACATCAGGAGATCGACCTGGCGAGATATATCTGCCTATAAATACATATCAGTACATAACAATAGTACACCACACTTACTGCTATCATTCGTTTACCGGTCAATATCGCGGACACGAACAATGCGAGTCGGTATCATTCTGACGTCAAATCCTGGTTGTTCGTAGTATCGCCTTACCTTTGACACGTGATACCATGGGGAGACATTGAATAATGACCTTGGTGATAGGACTGACCTTAAGGCACTGAAACTCGACGTGAGATGATATTTAGTAGATGAACCAATTCCAAGTGAACATGTAAAACGTAAACAAATGTTCATTCAAGTGTCAACAGTAGCATTTGTCGATACTATGGTACGATCAAAATACATCATTCCATACTGACTATGTAGAATATGGAGATTCAATGTTTTGGTTCAACAGCAAAAACAACATGGCATCAGTGTTCATGCTGGTATGTTTTTTTCAGATAAAGAGCAAGAAAAACGTTACACTAAGAACTAACTAAATCAGAAAAACTTGTGATGACACACACAAAATTTAAGTCTATATGAGAAACTGAAAGAGAAATCTTTCCAATCGAGGTATCGAAGTGAAATTATGTACTACTGAGTGTTAGAAATATTGGTACTCTTTATATATGATATAGTCTGTCATGTGACCTGCTCGATGGTACCTCTAAAGTATATAAACGCATAAGTAAATATGGACACCAATGTCCAGAGCTGCTGGAATGTCCACTATTATAGAGGTGATTCGTCCGGCTTGTCATACAGCCTTGTGGAGACGTGTTCGTCATATGAAATCTTTCTGTATTGATGTGAATATGAAAAAGATGAGGCGATCTGAACAGTGTCTTAAATTTAAAAGAAACCGGTATTTTGAGCGTTATAAGATCATTAATATATTAGTATCTGAAGATAATGTCAAACCTCTTGGCCTCATTGCCTCGGTTTGCCAACCTGAGCAGAAATTCCGGTTTATACCTGTACAGGAACAGATGAACATGAACAGCAGTACACACAGCCATACTGTGACCCACGCGACACTTTGCCTATGTCGTATGCCTTCTGTTTTGTTTAATACTAACTTCAAAGGAGATATATTCAATATAAACTCCTTTACATGTTAAATGCTGAAATGCTTAAATACCCATTTACACAAAAGAAAACTTCATAAGTGATTTTATTGTTTTCTGAAAAGCAACAAACAACCACAGCAATTCTACAACGTGCGCGTATGTACATCATATCGTCATTCGAGCCTCGACAGGGCTCGGGCTGTGACACCATGTCGCTTTGTATACAGAGCATTCATGTACATAGCAATTAGGTTGTCCGTCTGTATAGTAGACGCGAGGTGGGATATTGTGTTGCGTAAGGTTCCATCGAGAATAGGTACCAAAAACGGTACCAAGTGTCATTTCTTCAGCGATTGGACACAGTGATGTCTTGCGTTTCTTGCATTTTGATAGTTTAAAACTTCGTTACGAAACTGTGAATGCAAAATTGAAGAAAGATGTCCGTGCCAACTAAGTTTGGATATTTTGTGGAGGTGTGTGATATCACGGTCTCGAAGTGTTGATGTTTCCTTCATGTGATATACATTTAGCACAAAATGAAATCTTAACATCATGGTAGTTGGCCCATGCCTGAATACTGAAATGGTAGATATTATGCAATGACAGTAGCTTCAAACTTGGAGTTAGCACGGTATTGAAAACTGCACGGTACTAAAAAACTGTTTCTCAAGTGGTGTTGGTATCCGCGTTCGATTCTTCACATGGGTACAATGTGTGAAGCCCATTTCTGGTGTCCCCCCGCCGTGATATTGCTGGAATATTGCAAAAGCGAAAAACCATACCCACTCAATCACTGTCTCTCAAAAAGTCTTTAATTTGTAGTGCACATTATTCAATGAGTTTGGAAATAAAAACCTCATGATGTTGTATATAAATAAATATTGATACATTCTCCTTCCCAGTACATACATTGTCTGAACTTCTCCACCATGTCGCCCTCTATTTTCCCAAATTATTACGAACATTTCTAAATCGTATATATTTGTTGTTTCTTTAACGCTGCACTCAGCAATATTCCAGTAACAGGGTGTCGGTCTGTACATAATCAAGTCTGGTCCAGATAATACAGTGATCAACATCATTAGCATCGTTCTACGCAACTGATATACGATGACATGTATCAACAGATTTAACGAGCCTGACCACCCCGATCCCGTTTGTCAACTCCTGTGAAAAGCATGGGTTGCTGAAGACGAATTTTAAGTGTTACAACGAAAAGGGTTAAATACGAGGCAACAGACAAAAAGCTTTGTTTAAATGCATCCATTTATTCATGTAACTATGAAGGTAATGTTAGCTTCAAGTTATCAAAGTCCGCGTAACCATACGATCCCGATCCTAGTGCCGCCATGCCGTGTTTGATATCAGATGGTACGGCAACATTGAACATCAAGTTGCCATTGATGAAACCTGTCGCCTGTGTATCCTAAAAACAATAGCATACAAACGAATCATAATGAGTTTTATTAATAGAACTAATAGGTCATAACAATATTTACGTGGTGATTAAACTGAAAAGTGAAATTCGTTATTCCTCCTTACATTTAGCATTTTCAGTAAGGTGAGACATTTGAGTCTTGGCCTGTGAACGGTAACAACGGTTGCAAACCTCAGGATTGGAAACCTCAGGATTGGAAACCTCAGTACAGTGCTGCAAACTTGTTTTTATACTTTTATAACACAGCGTCTTACAGTACAAATAGCAGTGAGTGAGTTTAGTTATCGCCACATTCAGCAATATTCCAGCTATACGGCGGCTGTCTGTAAATAAATAGTCTGGACCAGACAATCCAGTCATCAACAGCATGAGCATCGATCTGCGCAATTGGGATACGATGACATGTGTCAACCAAGTCAGCTAGCCTGACCACCAAATCCCGTTAGTCGCCTCTTACAACAAGCATGGGATCTGAATATCAGTTCTAACCCGGATCGTCATGGGTTGTACAAATAGCAAGATTATAAGGAACACATTATAATGGCTATACCTTTACAGTAAGTGACACTGTGTTCCAGTCCAGATCCACAAGCATCTTTCCAGTTGCCAAGGTAGTGCGCATGTCTGTAACAAAATGCGTGCAAAACCCTTTAGATATTGTGACGCCATGTTCCCTTCGGTAATCTTATTGTAAAAGTATACATATAAGGGGCATCGAAATTGAGTAGCAGCAGTGTCTTTATGTGAATAACAAGGGTTGCAAACATCAGAGAAAGGAACATGTATAAACTCAGGACATTTGAGAAAATAATAAAAGTTAACACACCAAATGAAGTCGTGACCATGAAGATGTTGCTCCTTGGGAAGATGAAGAAGAAGACACCCCTGCCCTGTACCAGCGAGCATCCTCCTTGGTCCAGACGGGCGGCGACGAAGGCTCCCTTAGAATCATTCGCTCCTGGTCCTACTCTGATGTCACACTCAATAGCGACATCATCCCTGGAGAGATTCATTATTCTATAGGTACAGTTACTAATGAACAAAGATTCATTATTCTATGGGTACAGTTACTAATGAACAAAGATTCATTATCCTATAGGTACAGTAACTAATGAACAGAGATTCATTATCCTATAGGTACAGTTACTAATGAACAAAGATTCATTATCCTATAGGTACACTTACTAATGAACAGAGATTCATTATTCTATAGGTACAGTTACTAATGAACAAAGATTCATTATCCTATAGGTACAGTTACTAATGAACAAAGATTCATTATCCTATAGATACAGTTACTAATGAACAAAGATTCATTATCCTATAGGTACAGTTACTAATGAACAAAGATTCATTATCCTATAGGTACAGTTACTAATGAACAAAGATTCATTATCCTATAGGTACAGTTACTAATGAACAGAGATTCATTATCCTATAGGTACAGTTACTAATGAACAGAGATTCATTATCCTATAGGTACAGTTACTAATGAACAAAGATTCATTATCCTATAGGTACAGTTACTAATGAACAGAGATTCATTATTCTATAGGTACAGTTACTAATGAACAAAGATTCATTATCCTATAGGTACAGTTACTAATGAACAAAGATTCATTATCCTATAGGTACAGTTACTAATGAACAAAGATTCATTATCCTATAGGTACACTTACTAATGAACAGAGATTCATTATCCTACAGGTACAGTTACTAATGAACAAAGATTCATTATCCTATAGGTACAGTTACTAATGAACAGAGATTCATTATCCTATAGGTACAGTTACTAATGAACAGAGATTCATTATCCTATAGGTACAGTTACTAATGAACAAAGATTCATTATTCTATGGGTACAGTTACTAATGAACAAAGATTCATTATCCTATAGGTACAGTTACTAATAAACAGTGATTAATTATTCTCTAGGTACAGTTACTAATTCCGAAGTTATCAGATGTATTGCATGTGTGCTAAACAGACTTACGGATATTTATTTATCAGATATCAATTTAGCTGTGTGATGAGATTCATCTCACTAAAAGCTGATTTGTAAACATATTTGTAACTTATCATTTACCTGCTTGTCTGAACAACAGCCGCTCCCATCTCGACATATTCCGCTCTGCACCAGGCCACAGGTCGCCTCAAGGTCATCTGTCTCATGACCTTTCCATGAGTGCCTCCAACGTTCGTGACCTCAAACGACCCAGTCTGTGGGGCCACATAATAGGGCTCCACACCCTCCTCATATTCTGCAATATAAAAATATAATAATATGGCACTCGGTTATATTGGGAGACCTTTTACTCAAGCTATTCCGTGACCTGCATCAACATGAATGCAAAATATGGCGTTATAGGAGAAGTACTTTCATATCATTCTTACGTTCAAAGTCCTCCGCATACGACAGTGGGAACGGGGCGGAATCTGGGGGTTTCGGGTGTTCCCCTTTATTTCCCGTCGTCAACGTCGTCAAGGTGAAGGTTGTGTTCGGGTAGATCGTCACATTGAAGACTCCGTTTACAACCTGTTTGGATTGAAATCAAATCATTAAGTGCGTATATTCACATCATTCCATTCTCCCAACTCTCTGAACTACAAGAGTTTGGAGACGTTGATTAAAAAACAAGAGAAAAGCACGTTATTGTTTAAATGAAGCTGAAAACATAAAATCTAAAATAATCCCAAGAGAAGCGGACCTTAAATTGATGACACTGGTTGACCAAAGTTTAAGTTGTCCTTGAAATCAAAACTAGATTAATATTATTATTACAAACAATTTTATAACAATATTTACTTAAAATGTATCGTTATTTCTATTTGACTCAATTTGCACAGAATGTGGAAAATGAAAAGGTTACCTGGACAGGAGATTGTTTCAGAAAGTTCTGGTTTTTGGCAGGATCAGAGAATACAGATGTTTTCCAGGAGTTGAGCTGTGCAATGTTTGCCTTTGAACCGACAGAAACAAACACGCCATGTTATTAACAGAAAAACGATTCAAATAATGGAAGAGGATACAACTGCAAACACAATTGTACAGAATGTCATCTATGTGATTCATCTCCAGAACGAAATCGCTTTGCATTCAACAAACTAAAGCGGTTAGAGTTTCCGAAAATAAAGCCATTATTTCTTGTAATAAATACACCATTGTCGATCGAGTCAATAACAGGTTAGGCTTTGCCTGTTGATGATCCTATAGTTATCCTATATCGTGGGAAGTTTGTTTCTTCAAGCATTTAAGCATAATGTATACACACATTATATTTTGCGCCATAACGACAAGTTAGTTTTCAGGTGTCAATACTTACAAATGTCCCTTTGATATGAAATGTGACGGTTTCCATTTCTGCATTCAGAGAGTACGTATCTTGATTCTGAAATAGAGCGCGGATAAGACATTGCAATGAGTTGACCATTGACAAAAGTCACTCGGTGTTGACTTAAATCATTAATCAGTAATCAGGGGATACTGAAACTGTTCTTCTACTAAATTCTTCATGTTACAGAAACATATAGACATGGAAAATGTCATATACATCGTCCCACATGTTCGGAAACCGTGGTGATTTGTGCATGCATTCATATCACTGGAAAAGCCACACTCTCTAATTCTAATTCGCTCCTTAAGACGCTGGATATATAAGTACTATGTCCTGCTTGATTCAAAATTCTCACCAATTTTTCAACGATGATTGTAAGGTCCTTCTTGTCCGGACTGACCATAGTGACGTAGGTGCCCCTTTAACCAGGTTCCCCACCCCGTACCCGTGCTTCAAGTAGATCCACCCGGGCTTGGTAAACTGGCCAGTATGAGCTGCAACATGTGTGATTCTGGCGTCATTAATGATGCAACAATAATTTATGATATAATTGTTTCATGGAAGTTTGTGATAAAACAAAGAGTCCCATACACCGAAGGCCATATCACAGTCGGTATGGTTTCATCGAAGCGAGTATGTACCTCAGAAGTGTATCAACTTAAAATGAGCGCTTGGGTTATTGTATTAAATTATTTGATTTGTTTAGATCGGTAATGAAACCCTAATGATCTTGATATTGGCGTAACTGACCTGCAAACCATATATAATCGAAGACGTCATAATGTCCACTCCAGGGTTCATTGGCCCTCATGAGACCGGCGGGGTAGAACGGTAACATGGTGTAGAAACCACACAGGGTTGACCACACGATGGTGCTGGAAGGATGGAGAGTGAAGAGTTTCACAGCTTGGTGAATGTGATATTTCTGTTGCTGCAGTTAAAATGCATTAACATCGGACAGACTCTTCTTCTCAAATGCATGCTGATGTTTTTATGACTTACATTCCCAACGTGACCGATGTTTTAATTTAATCAGATGGACAAAAATAGACCACTGACTATAGAAAACGTAATTGTAACGAACAAGATAGGGCAATCATTAAGCAAAATAGATAGATGATTGCTTATCATATAGGATCGATCACGTTTTAGATAATTATACTTATTTGAATCAAGTGAATGAAACATCAGGCCTGGTGCATGCGTGACATCAACCTAGCTAATGCCTACTTAATGGATGACTTTTTGGAAATGACTGATCCTGTTAATCATTTTAATGTATGGTTCGGCCTACCTTGTCATGTATCCATTAACATAGTTACGATTCCATTTCTGAAACATATTTCAGTAAAATACATCATTTCAGTAGCATACATAATTGCCACCAACGATGATGTCACCAATGTTGTCTTACCCTTCAGCATGTCTATAACATTTAAAAGCAAGTAACGACATATCTGTTCATGTGATAGGTACAAATGTATAAACCATCAAATGTAGTCAAATATCGAACGCAGAACAATCGAACAATAGGATACCCTGGGTTACTTAATTTACCCACAATTTCATCAAATCAAAGAGCAGCATTGGGTCCCTTTCCGGAACAAATGTCTTGCTAGAAGGAATTATGTGAATTCTAATTATGTATCGATGTTATGACAATTGTAATGTGATAACTTACAGCATTGCCACTATCTGAATGATCCTCCGAAGACCACAGAGGTTTCCCCATTTTCTGTGCCAGGGGGGAACTGTTAGTAGCAGGATAGTGTACCCTGAAATGACAGCAGGATCCTATATGGCACACTTTGAAGATGCAAAATATAATGACACGTATTCAAATACCACGTTCCGGGTATAGTAATAAAACAGAGCAATGTTGTTGTTCCGGTTCCATGTGTATGGAAACGGACTTGAGCACAAATATTCATCATGGTTGAAGGCAAGCGAGTTCTTTGAATTCTGTCGTATAACTTGAAATATGAATTTTAAAGCTGCAGCTGACGTTAGAAGAGAGGACTATCTGTGTTATACTCACCCCATGGCATAGATAGCATTGGCAAGTTCAGGGTCATTCAAAATATCAGTTGCGAAGTCGTCCCATTTGAAGTAGTCAGCAGCTACGATGAGCGTGTCTTGGAGGCCATTGTTGTCAAGGACTTTCCTCAACACCTGTGGAACAAGACAGTGGTTACATTATCGGGGCCCTAACTTCGAAATAATGTATGGACATAATAATATGGCCACGAAGCTTCACTAGGATTCACGTATATCAGTGATCTAATGCCGTTCACTAATCTATTCCTTTCCACTGATTTACCCACCTGAACTTATAGACAAGTGAGAACGCCTTGTATGTTCAATTATTTGATTCAGAGTGACACAAACTCTCCACAAGGCAATATGACATAAGTGATGATTACTTTCCAAGAGTCAAATATCCCTTCATGTCCAGCAATATTCCAACAGCTCCAGCCGTTGGTGTGAACATTTCACAACGTTTGAGGAACAATCAAGCATACTCGTTTCACGACGATTTCGAAGAGCGTCACACTACTCTTGCTCAGAAGTCGTTTGATCAAGGCTACAACATGCAAGGCTTCTGTAAAGCTTTCTCATTTTTATGGTAGAAATGTGGGGAAGTTTGAAAATCTGACACTTCAGGGACGAAGATAATGTCCGACATCTACTACCATTCCCGAACTTTTTCAGGTGTATAATTGACTTGACATTTGTGATGGGTGCCACCAATGGTCACGATATGCTCACCTTTTCGCAAACACATGGTTTTATACTTGATAGAGATTCATAAACACATGACATAGTCGAAATTGGAAATCAACTGCTTTTCGCATTTCTTATGGGTGCGGAAGGGGTTTCGTCGCTTCTGTTCATTGGTATTTAACACATTTTCAAAACAAAAGATACCAATCGTCGTTAGTTATGATTTAAAAACTCACCTTTATGTACGTTGTGTTGTATAGATGTTCATTCCAACACTGAAAGAAATCAAAATAGCAATCAAGATAACGTAGCATATTATCATTATCATAGTCAAACAACGTGATACTTACACTAAACTAGAAGACCGCGATATAGCAGTAGATCAAACTATAAATTCCACAAATGAAAGGTGTATAATATATGTATGATTACTTTCAACATTACCTTAAATCGTAATCAAATGTTTTCTGCGCGTTTCGGTTCATTATTCAAGAGTCGTTGGTCATTATTTTTAATGCCGCAAGAAAATGTTTGGGATAACAGGATTATACAGGTATGAATGTTAAGATGCACTGGATGATTATGTTTGGGATAACAGGATTATACAGGTATGAACGTTAAGATGCACTGGATGATTATCTTTGGGATAACAGGATTATACAGGTATGAACGTTAAGATGCACTGGATGATTATGTTTGGGATAACAGGATTATACAGGTATGAATGTTAAGATGCACTGGATGATTATGTTTGGGATAACAGGATTATACAGGTATGAACGTTAAGATGCACTGGATGATTATGTTTGGGATAACAGGATTATACAGGTATGAATGTTAAGATGCACTGGATGATTATGTTTGGGATAACAGGATTATACAGGTATGAACGTTAAGATGCACTGGATGATTATGTTTGGGATAACAGGATTATACAGGTATGAATGTTAAGATGCACTGGATGATTATGTTTGGGATAACAGGATTATACAGGTATGAACGTTAAGATGCACTGGATGATTATCTTTAGGATAACAGGATTATACAGGTATGAACGTTAAGATGCACTAGATGATTATGTTTCACATGTTGACCAAAAAAAATCTGCTTTCTTTTTGTTGACTCACAGTTGATTGGTAGTTGACCCACCTCGTTAGTACGATAGCCCTTCCATAAACGTCTATGTATATAATTAATGTATGGCCATAAGCAGCTACCCACCATTACATGAAGTTGATACAGACACTTGTCGCTGGAAACGTTTCCGTCCGAATCTCCAGGTTTCACTATATTTACATATACTCTGATACTTTGATACCTAATAATGTGGTAGAGATAGTCTGGTGGGTAAATCATTCGCTCGTTACGTCGAAGCTGATTTTTTTAGTGCTAACGCTGGTGTTCTCCGCCGTGATATTACCGTAATATTTCTAAAGGAGTACAAAACCATAGTCACGTTTCAAGGACTGAAGGATTATCAATACGTTACCTATATTATACATCATCAAAATATGCACAGTTTCGGAGAAGTCCTGAGTTTCTACGTGCTAAATATTTGTATATGGCGTTATATACTTCATAAATGTAATCAGACATTAGAACAAGCACTAAGAAGGCTACACAGATAAAATGTGATACCCCAATGTAATCTATTGTCAAGTTGTGGATCTTCTTGGCACCAATGACCCAGTTGGCCACATACTGCGCTGTACGTTCTGGCTGAGCATACACGCTACCAACAGGTCCTTCAAGCCAGCCGGGGAACCCCCACGACAGCCCGTACAGCTTGATGTCAGGGTTACGCTGAAATGAATGTGTAAGAGGAACATTAGAGGATTGCAACAGAACACTGAATCATAATCGGTACTAAGAAGAAGTCTGTGATCAGAGACTATAAAAATACCTACTTTCTTGGCTTCTTTCAGCATCCACCATTCATAACCCCTGTTGTAGTTCTGTTCATCGGGGGTCCTCATGTGAGTGGCCTCCGATCCCTCTGGAAACAAAACAATGTCAAATATGGGCGTCAGTATTTATTCTCAGGAAATAAAAGACGATTCTTTCTTTGAAATGTCTGACATATTTATTTGTAATCCAGTAAATTCTCATTCTTTAAATGATTTCAACGCAAACATTGGCTCTGCACATGCACATATTTTCGCATTCTGTCCTTACCTGAGCTTTGGGCATCGCCACCAATCTCGACTTTAAAGATATGAAGGGATGCGCCAAAGTTGGGCTGAAAGCACAGTGACATTATACTAACCTTTGAATTTCAGCACAGATTTGCATTACACGTATTATTAAGAACATCACTAAAATAATAGTATTGTATCGGACAAATAATGTCTTCCAGTTGTTGTCTAACAGTTAAGTCTTCTTTATAAACTAGCATGGAAGAGCATTCATTTTACTGCTGTGCGGCGTCAAGCAACAAACGCCGGTTTTATTTTCATTGTATATGTTACAGGGAATGTGTGAAACCAGGGATTTCACGTAATCCCTGAAAGATTCAGTGATTTCGCGAAATCACTGTGACCCCCAGGCATTTCATGTATTCCTTAAACTTTCTCACATTATAAATTTGGTGTTCTCTATTTCAATAAGGGCTTACAGGGATTTCATGAAATGCCTGAGCTAATATTTCAGTAATTTCATGAAATCCCTGGAAATTTTAGGAAATACATGAAATCCCTGGGGGTCACAGCGATTTCATGAAATCACTGACTCTTTCAGGGATTACGTGAAATCCCTGGTTTCACACATTTCCTGTAACATATACATATTGTGAGGGCTACCAGAGGCTCAGGAAATTTCAAGTGATGCATTTATATCACTACTATTTAAATATTTACACGCATTAGAATATGTTGATGTAATCTGCTTGATGGGCATTTAGAAGTTGGAAGGTAACTTAACAACATATGGTATGGATTTACAACTTCTTTAATATTTACAACACGACGTTTCCGGTCTTACCCCTTCATCATGTCATTATTCACCTGATGAAGGGGCAAGGAGTAGCCCAGAAACGTCGTGTTGTAAATATTAAAGAAGTTGTAAATCCATACCATATGTTGTTATGTTAGAATCTGTTTCGACGGATGATCGAAACTGAAATTCCCTGGTGTTACGTGTTATATGTACATTATCCACTTTTGAAATCTTGATTCACTCTAAGACAGATCTGTACTTATGATGTATTTATATCAATTTATCTATTTATATGATGTATTATTGACAAGACAATATACATCAGCTTGTTATATAGACCAGCTGTAAGACATGAAGATTAGTATACACGAAATGAAAACAAGACCTTTAACGTATCAATACCTTACCTTAAACAAGAAATCCAAAACTTCGTCTCTCTGCTGTTGTGGGTAGCTGACCAACAATTTTGACGTAGCCTGGAATATTCAGGTGGGTGAGTGTTTGTTATTCAGCCACTTGGCCAATGACTATATTCTACAGCCTCTATATAAAACATAGCATAGTAAGCCTGAAGATCGAGACGGGCCCGTTTCACAAAGCACCAAGGTGATCGTAAGTCACTAAGGCAACCTTAGTGCAATGTTAAAGAATAGAAGTTAAGGTTGACCTTTGTAAAGGTTGCTTCGTGAAAGGTGCCCCAGGTGACTAGACTGCCAGTGGATCATGGTCACAGTGCGCCAGACACACAAACACTCATCACACATACGTTTAAAATAACATTTTTCCTCAGAAATATCTGTAGATCATCAGTCAGCATATTTAATAGTTACTCATACTCAACAACCAAGCTGTCACACATACTCACCCCTCCGCCGCTGATGGCACCAATACCGTCAAATACCCGGCCATATCCAGGTGTGTCGTCCACGGGGTAGGTATACTGCCCGCTGCATGTGTAAACCAGAACCAACACTACATACGTCTTTAGAACACCCATGTTAGAGTTGTATGTTGCCTGTTGGTCGTACGACATGGGAGTAAGTGTCACGGATGGTGTGTGTGTTTATGTAGGTGATAACAGTGTCCAGATATACGTCCCAACCAGCAGGTGATACACTTATGATATCAGAAACACTGTCTTGGAATAAGATCATTCATTGATTGATCCACATTCATCTGCTTCTTGATTTAGGAGTTATCAGTTCCTGAGTTTATCAAGTGTACACATGAAGCACCTATATTTTAAGAACGCTGTATGACACACAACTGATATTTATTTGGGTTGGTTTCATATCATGTGCTACTCATGTGTTAGGATGGACAGATGCAGATCCATAGTCTCCACAATAATGTTTACATCTGTCGTGTGAGGGAATTGACTTTTGGTTGCAATAACATAGCGTCCTGTACTCGAAAATTCATATAATATATAATGAGTACTACTAGGTGATTGAGTTAATTATGTTTTACACCACCTTTAGCAATATTTTAACAATGTCAAGGCAGGGGACACCACAAATGGGCTTCACACAGTGTAGCCTAGTGGTTAAAAGCGATCGCTCGTCACGCCGAACATCGGGGTTCAGTTCTCGACATGGGTGTAAAACCATACGTAGATAAGAGAGGTGCTAAGTCTGAGGTACCAAGTCTGAGGCAATCAGAGTTCCAATGTATCTACGTAGCCTGTAGGGGATACCTACGTGACCTTCTGTCTGCTTCCAACAGATTCAAACACGAAGCACATGCCTCATTCAAGACGTTCTGGCAAATTTGGGATATTCTCAAGTGCAATGAGTAATATGTGTTGGTCGTACGGCAAGGCAAGAAGCCGGCGGTGATAACACACTGTTGTAGACAAATTCAATAAATAGATAACAATTTGTTGCTGTTATTGTTGTTAACCCACACTCAGCAATATTCCAGCTATATGTCGGCGGTCTGTAAATAGTAGAGTCTGGACCAGACAGTCCAGTGATCCGCAATGAGCATCGATCTACGCTATGGGGATACGATGACATGTGTCAATCAAGTCAGCGAGCCTGACCACGCGATCCCGTTAGTCGCCTCTTACGACAAGCATGGGTTACTGAAGACCAATTCTAACGCGGATCCTTGGTGCACACAGAGGAAGAGTGAGTGGCCAATACTACGCAAAATGTACATAATATATAGAGATTAATACCCAAGCGTAGATGTCATATTGTATTTACAACACGAGTGACTGAAAAATGATATATTTTTTCTGGCACGAGTGTTGTAAATACAAAATGACATCTACGCGAAAATGTTAATATATCTACTCTTCAGAAAGCTTTAATTACAAATGTTAGTATTTTACTGGCAGTCCATGTTGAATGAGATTAAATTATGGCCTGGAAGCGTATGAATACCAATACGGCAAGGTCAAGGTCGCTGCGCACTGACAAGAACTGTTGTAGGACTAAAAATCTAGCGCTATATAAAACAGTCAAATTCAAATACATGTAAAACGTGACACAGTGTTATGTTTTACGTGATATGTGTTATATTTTACTAAATTCTAGTGTTCATTAGTGTTGATAAATGTGTCAGGCGAAGAAACGAGAGCAACTGAAGTTGTGAACATTGTATCCCTAGTAAAAAGTAAAGAATGAAAAAAGTAGTCCTGCATTCCAATATCACGTGATTGTTTCAACCGGCTACTGAAATGGCCTCTATGGTTTATTACACGTGTGCTACGTATCGAATATACACTGCCACGCTCTTATCAGACACTGTATATATTCGATACGTAGCACAAATGTAATAAACCATAGAGGCTATTTCATTAGCCGGTTGAAACAATCACGTGATATCGTAATGCGGGACTCCTATTGACGTGCTTAACGATAGACGTTCTCCTCTCATACCGAGGGTGTAATTATTAGGTTTACCACCCCAAAAACTAGTGCTCTTGCGAATGTCCAGAGTCGTGTTTCAGTTTGCATGTAATATAAATGTGCTATCTGTACGTCTGTATTTGATTATAAGGCTGATTATCATAGCCAAATGCGTGAAGCTCTATTCTGGTGTCACCTCCGTGATATTGCTGAGCTCTGCTTAATTGCCGACTTGTAACACAATTTGCTCAGTTGATTCAACCTTTTGAGAAGAAACCTCTGAGATGTTACTTTATGTCCACAAAAAGCGTATTTCCGTATTCCTCTTAGATGGTTTACATTATCTTGATGAAATGGACTCATACACATCTTATATTCCTCACATGCAATGCAGCGTTTTACCTTGGGTCAAAATACAGATTGTTCGGAATTCCGTATGTATTAACAAACCCATAGAAAAATCTGCTGTTTTCCGTCATAAGATAGCATTCCATATGCGTCCTGAAATAGTCCATAATGTAGTCTCTTTCTGTATCTGACAAAGTGCCATTTGGCCATTTGGCACCATTATTGATGCCTTTGGAGATTTAAAAGCATCTCATTCCTTCTCATCGCGTTCCATGTTTATCGAAAATAATCTTTGTTCTCTATGTTTAGATGTCGGGTAGAGATTAATTTTCATCATTTTTATACAATTCGAAACAAGTTTCAATTGATGGGTCCTGGCTGTTTTATATCCTGATTCCCGACTCACACAAACTTCCGCTAACTCCTACTGAGTCCCATTCTGACCAGAACACCTTGAATTATTTTGTCTTGACGCATCGCTCATGTCCTTCCATTAATTTGTGTTTGTCCATCCATTGTACTTCCACACAGTGCACAGTCCTTTTGTTTTTTCAGGAAAGTCGTCGACCAGACAGAACTGTGAGCAGTGACCTACGTTATGATTGACCATTTGTTACCAAAATGTGAAGGCGCATACAGGGAAGTACTTTTCCTGTAAGTCCCTTGGGAGGTTACACCTTTGGTGAACGTTGATTGGTTGTTTCAGAAAATAAAACAGCCAATCAATATTGCGGGTTTAGTTATAAAGAATGCTGTTTCATAGATCAAAAACTGACATGGGTAATAAAAACAATAACCAACTCGTGATGGGGAATGACAGATTATCTTTTCCTCGTTATAATAATTATGTAAGTTTCTCGCCAAGACTCGAGAATTACATAATTAATGTAACTCAGGAAACATAATCTGTTATTCTCCAAGTTATTGTCTAAATCTTAACGAAGCTTTCTGATGTGATTTCTAGATATCTTCTGATTTGCATCTTAATGTTGATTGGTACAAGAGTTTGTGAATTCTTAACATGTTATCTTGGTCGTTGTTGTTTTAGACATTTAGAGCACATGATGTGTGTACACATATATTTATTCACCTGGGAGATCAGTATTACTGTCTTCATGAAGATTACTAAAAACAGAATAGTCTTTGTTTGTAGAGCTGTTGTACAACATTGTGAAACACCGTGTGGCGTGAGCAACTTTTCAGATTGGGAAGGAGTATTTCTAAATGCTCAGGTTACATTGCAGTTATTTTGTAAGATCTCGCGAAACCGATACCTCCTTCAAGATGGCGGCCCCCAGAAGTTAGCGTTTTCGATGTGACCAGGGAAACTCGTTTAATGTACTGTGTGATTGTTTAGGTGACGTAGTTGAGGTAGGTTGCTATGGAAATGACTGACAGAGTGTTGTGATGTGTGTACGTGCATGTCCTAACTGAATGTAACAGAAAGCAGACGACAATGGGGCAAGACATGGTTGTGTCATCTCTCTAACCTAGGAAAAAACAATGCATATATTAATTATCTGAAATCATTTAATACAAATATGTGTTACATTAATCACACAGATTACAACAAATGGATATGAACATTCATCCACGTTTAATCTTTAAGTTCCGTCAAGGAAGCAAAGAATTAGATCCGGATTTCATCATTTCCATTCTGTTGAGTCTGTCTTGTGCAGGTGTTATGTTCACGTTGTCAAAATCGGCTAGTCCGTATCCCCTTGTCCCCATACCGACAAATCCAGCTGTTATTGCAGATGGAATTGACGTACTGAACAAAGGTTTTCCGTTAACAGTGCCGGTAGCCTCTAGACCCTGGTAGAAATAACAGACACAAGCCGATACATAAGAAACCTAAATTATAGATCTCGCTGGTATAATACATTGTTTGTTCAACACTGCAATCAGCAATTTCGCAGCAACCACGGTGACCTGTAAATGCTCGACACAGCGTGCTTCACAACGTCACTCAACGTCAATGCCATGGGGATACGACGTCGAGTGGTTAAACGAGTCACCGAGAGTGACCACCCGATTCGATTCAAGCAATAGAGCTGATGACCTTTTTCAATCCGACTCTTCGCGGAGTTGACGCATAATGTACAAGTGTTATGTGCGTGAGTTACAATCTAACGTCACATCGGCATTATTTAAGCCCTATGGGGACGGTGGGGTAGCCCAGTGGTTAAAGTGTTCGCTCGTCTCTCCGAAGACCCGGGTTCGTTTCCCCACATGGGTACATTGTGTGAAGCCCACTTCTGGTGTCTCCCGCCGTGATATTGCTAGAATATTGCTGAGAGCGGCGTAAAACCCAACTCACTCACTCACGTAAGCCTTAATAGCGACAAAAACCAAAGGGTAAATACGTTCCACTTCTCTTCAGATAATCAAACCGGTTCATTTTTAGGCCTTTTAAACTTAACATCATGGTGTAGAGGATAGCTGTTCTCGAATGAGAGAAGGACGGTCAAAATCCTTCTAAAAAAAAAGTCTATTAAGATTTTATCTGTTGTTGGTAAGTGAGTCGTATTTGTGAATGACATCAAAGGAAACCAAGATTTGTATATTTCCACATGACGTAAATAAAATCGATATTTATTCACTCATTTAGTGTTCAGGGCACATTGCTCATCACTGATGACAGGTAGTCAGTTAAATAATACACACCACATCATACGTAACCTCAAACAAATGTTTAGGCTTACGTCTATTATTATGACAACTGACAAAGGTTGGGAAAAATGACAGAATTCACCTTCACGAGGAGAGATGCGGTGTTCCATCCGTCAGCATATGTGAAGTTCCCCTCTGTGATGATCTGATTTAAAACTGAAGAAACAAGCGAGCATGTTACAGATCTCTTGCATACGAAATTGTCCTATAAAGTAATTTTAAGTGAAGAAACATGGCGGATTCAAAGAAGAAACAATTGCGCACAAGGATAATCCGATTGAAATATGAAGGAAACAGCCAAAATATGTTCATATAAAGTCATGGCTTCAAGACAAACACATATTTGAAACGAGGTTGTTTAAAGTTGTAATAAAAAACAGAATAATGAAGACGGCCCCAATCAAGGCCAAGTAAAGTGTCCTGAACTTCACGTGCCTGAAATGAGGCATTCAGACAGTTTTAATCATGAATTAATGCTCAAACGTCATGTAGGTAGAGGATGCGGAAATTCCAAATCTTGGCCATCGCACAGAAAGCTTCAGCTGTTTGCCATGCGCAATACGTATAAAACCAGTAATACATCAGATGACGTCTCTTTCCAACCGAGGTGCCGCCTGGATCCATGAAGGTTTTCTGCTATACACTTAATATTCTAACCTTGAATTAGCCAGGACCATACATTCAGTTAAGTAGAACAATACCTTATGAATGATCATTATGCATTTATTGTAAACACAAATTGTTAAACGTATGTCCAGGTGTAACAACGATTTTGATCTATACTAATTTAGTCTGGACCAGTGACTTTGACCTATACTCACTCTGCTTGGATTTTGACTTTCTGTGATATTGTGAATGAACGATGCCTTAAACCTCCGCCAACACTATCCTAGATGCATACAGGCCTACCATACGATGGCAGGCAATGTTAACGCTGGGACCTTTATAAATGACCTACACGGGGACCTTTAGGCCTATTTTACCCCGGAACCACCTATCATACAACAGAAATAAATGTGTCCTCACGGAAGTTGGCTGCCAGGTGAAATGTCTGATGTCTGACGTCCATGTATAGTATGACTCCAAATGCAAGTGTGACGTCACAACCGCCCTCTGTAACACGAGATGCTATGAATACACCATCTGGAGCCCCTGAGACCGCCGGGACCCGAAAGTCGACCTCCAGGTAGATGTCCGTCCTGGAATACAACCAATGTACAGGGTGACCCAGGGGAAGGGATACAGCCAGGACGGGTCTTATGGGACGGAGTTAAATTACGACCGATGCTATCCCATACTACGACATTTGCATGTTTTCACACCTGCTTACTGAAACCTACTTTCTTAACGAAAACTGAGTGGCAAATGCTGCCTGTGGAACAACATCATGGATGGAGCAACACCATGGAGCAACACCATGCGATTGATTGGAGCAACACCATGCGATTGATTTATTGGTTGGTTGGTTGGTTGGTTGGTTGCAGTCAGCAATATTACAGTAACAGAGCACCCTACTTATAATGCCATCTTGGATATAATGTCATGTTTTTGCCAGAACGGATTTCCTGCCCTTATAATACCCTGGTATTATATAATGTAAAACGTGATATAATGCCATTTGCCAATGGATTTTGGAACAAAAGTCATTTTCCCCTGGTTATAATGCCATTTACACTGGCTGCATGTAGTATACAGACCTTAATTGGTTATGGCGGCGGTCTGTAAATAATCGAGTATGGACCAGACAATCCAATGATCAACGGCATGAGCATCGATCTACGCAATTGGGATGCGATGACCTGTGTCAACCAAGTCAGCAAGGCTGATCCCGTTAGTCGTCTCTTACGACAAGCAAACACCATGCTAACACAAGGTCAGACGTTCCACGAAGCGATTGAAGCGCTTTGGTGGTCGTATCTCCCATACTTTAACATAGACGTATGACTGTCGTAGCGCTATGGTCAAGTTGTGGAACTGGACAGATCCGAGCTAGTTAAGAAAGGAGACATCCCAACGTTAGGATAAGAACCATTCTCGAAACGGTCCTATCCCTGTCCTAACGTGAGCTACCGATCCTAGCTAGCTTAGCGAACTCTTCAGTAGGTGAATAGAAAACCCCTCAATATGTTCTGGATTCCCCAAATATTACCCACGATTCATTGCATGAAAAAACACATATAAGGGCACCTACAATCTCGTTTAAAAGGTAAATGGAAAGGCTAGAAATAAGGCGAGTTAGTTTGTTTGTCGACTTCAAAATTGGTGAACAAAACAAGTACCACACCATGTTGATTTCCACTAAGATAGACTTAGGACAAGTCAGAACCTATCCTAGTATTTGTCCTAAGTTAGGATATCCTAGCACTAGGATACTTTTCGAGAATAAGGTAGGATACCTACCCTAGACCCAAGGATCAAAGTTAGGATATCCGAGGGCTAGGAACCTTTCACGTTAGGCACCCTGGCGATGACGTTTTGTATTCACAACACACAGCATCACGTCTCCTATATGTGTGACGGCCCTGTTGGTCTATCGGTCAACATACCAGGTAATGTCCCCTATGAGTGTGATAGGCCTTTCCGTCCAGTCGGCCGTGCACCAGGTGACCGGTTGTTGTGTAGTTTCCTGCCTCATGACGTTACCATGGGCGGCGTCAGCTTTCACGACATCGAACGCTCCTATTTGCTGGGAGAAGAGAAATGGCTCTTCGCCAACCTGGTAACCTGTTGATTTAGATTCAATTCATGTTAACATTAGCAACTATACATCATTACATATTTCTTTTTGACACAGTTTATAATATTGACATCTTGGCCAAAACACAATAACAATAACAAATACAACAATAACACGAAACAGCTCGTTACCCACGGTCCGGGGATCCCTGTCAAATTAGGGTCCGCTAATCATGACTCTGACTATTAAGACGTACAGAGTCGTGCAAAAGGTATTCGGACATTTGACGTAATTTCCATAGACATACATGTTAATTTAGTGTAGCATAAATAATTTTCATAAATTTAATTTTCGTAAGATCCAAGTCAAATTTTGCACATTTGTGAGGAATCATCTTACCTACAATCACAGAATTTCTGTTTAAATTTCCGTTGCTTTTTATCGAATGGTAACAATTTAATCAACATGTGTACAGTGCCGTGAACTCCTTTAACATGGCGGCCTATGGGATTGTGCATTATGTAACCAGACGTAAGTTGATAAATGTGGTGTCATTAGTTAAATAGTGGTCGGAAAATTGAACTGAAATTATGTGCGGAGAGCAGGGTGATTTCAAATTTGCCTGTCAAATTTTACAAAGATCCATCCTAAACTCACTTCATGAAAACTATTTATACTACACTGAAATAACATGTAAGTCTATGGAAATTACGTCAAGTGTCCGAATGCTATTTGCACGGGTCTGTATGTTTGGTTATCCCACTGCAACCATAAGTTAACACCGCCCGAGTTACTATACCTACCATCACAGTGACGCTGTTCGAGAGCATACATTGCCGAGCGTTAAGTTTGGGGGCTTGCCACATATTGCAGTCTTCTGTGTTAAAAGGTACATATAACGTTCTTCATGTTATCTTACTTTCAAATTGCTCCGTAAATGGAAGCGGGAAAGGCTTTGAAGGTGGCGGCTGGGTGTACGCTCCTTTGTTGCCAGTGGTCAACGTTGTAAGTGTGTACATTTCATTCACGCCAAGGGCTAGATTGACCAGCCCACCCACCGTCTGTCAAAAACAACATTCCAGCAAGAATATAATATTTGTGCTCCCGTTGATTTGTTACAGGTTTTAAAATGTCCAGCAACACATATTTAATACTACAGCCGAGCACCGTTGTGTCGAACTCTGATAACTCGATATCTCGGTTGTCTCGATATAACATCTCGGTCCCTGCAAAATCCTTCATAATTTATCATTATTCAAGTTCTTTTAACTCGATACGGATGTCTCGATATTTCCGATATTTCGATATATTGTCTTGGTCCCAACAAGCAAGAGTGCCCTTTTAACTCGATATTTGCAAAGAGACTCGATATTCACCCACCTTTCATGGGCAAGTATCCCTCTGAACTGAGGTTGTTTCCACACGTTTACACACGGTGCGGCATGAATGTATTTTTAAAATTAAATGACGACCTACCTGTATGACTGGCTTTTTAATGAAGTACTCGTCCGTCTCCGTGTTGGAATACCAGACATTGAACTGTGAGATGTTTGCCTGTAACAGCAGAACATATCAACAAGCATAAGAACGCGAATCTGAGATACCAGTAGTTACGTACCAACAGTATCAAACAGTAAATAAAATATGATCTTTGGAGTGAGTGAGTTTAGTTTTACGCCGCACTCACCAATATTCCAGCTATATGGCGGCGGTCCGTAAATAATCGAGTCTGGACCAGACAATCCAGTGATTAACAACATGAGCATCGATCTACGCAATTGGGATACGATGACATGTGTCTACCAATTCAGCGATTCTTACAACCCGATCCCGTCAGTCGACTCTGCGGGTGATTTTCTTTGGAGATGTATTTGATGTTGCTATGATTAAAGACTTACAATGGTTCCCTTGAGTTGTAACGTAACATTTTGGGGGCTGCCAAGGTCGCTGACGTCATTCTGACAGAGGAAAACATAGAAGAATATATGGACACCAACATGTAATTATTATGTGGTTGTGGAGTATTTTAACTAACAACAAAATATGTGAAATATCGACTTGCGTCACGAGTGGCAGCCGGAATTCTTTAGAGTTATCGGCCTTTGTTTATCAATGATTGGCTGGTTGGTTGGTGTTTAACGCCGCACTCAGCAGTCTTCCAGTTATATTGAGGCGGTCTGTAAATAATCGAGTCTTGACCAGACAATCCAGTGATCAACAGCATGAGCATCGATCTAAGCAACTGGGATACGATGACATGTGTCAACCAAGTCAGCGAGCCTGACCACCAGATCCCGTTACTCGCCTCTTACGACAAGCATGGGTTACTGAAGATCAATTCTAACCCGGATCTTCATGGGTCCCACATATATAAGATTACACTGTTGATGATGGTACCTTAAGCCCTCCTTTCAGAGGGAATCTGTAGCTCTGGATTTAGCTTGAATGGTATTAACTACAGCGTCATAGGAGTTGTTCCAGAGCATTCGCGGTATTAGGATGTAAACAATCATATGTGTCTGCACTATTGTTCACTTAACAGCATATAACATAAAACGGAATAAACATTGGATCAAAATTAATACATCAAAATCACAATTTTGGAAGAATAGTCCTTAAAATATCACCACCCAATTAACACGATGACGAAACTCTCTCTGCAGTAACAAAACACATCCTAAACATTGACGAATATGCTCACCAAAGTTTCAATTATGATAGTGACGTCATTTCCTTCTGGACTAACCAGAGCGGCGTATGTGCCGCCATATTTGAAGGCCCCAACTCCCGCTCCGTGACGTAGGAACGTCCATCCGGGCTGTGTAAACTGGGTTGTGTGAGCTTAAGAGACAATAAACAAACAATATGACTAAAACCTCAATGCTTTGTCTCACAATAACTAACAAGTTCTATAATCGGCAACATTATGTGTTTGGGCTGTTTTCATTCGGTGGATTTCGAAGTCATCGAATATTCGCTCAACATGAGGACTTGGCATCTTCATTGATAGTAATACTGTATTTATATCCCATTTATGCATATCGTCTCTTTTGGGACGGGTACTTCAAAAAAGCATTTCTCTCCTATTGTTGAGGATAGAAACCTGCAGTTTAGACGTGAATGAAGCTGAGTAAATTGTTTAGTGGTTGAACCATTCACAGTACTTGTAGAGTTTAAGAGTCAGTTTTAAGATTTAAGAGGTTGATCTCCACCACCTAAGCCTAATAAATTACCTAATTTAAGTTCACTCATCTGTATTTACTGGTAAAATGACACCTCATTCCTTTCATTGCTTGCCAAAAGAAACCAGCTCACAAAATTTGATGAAAATCTAAGACCCTATGCATATATGGAATATAGTAACCCCTGTGACTAGATTTGCAAATGAATAAGAAGGCGTGCAAGTTGGGGCGTCAGTAATGGTTTTGTGATGACAATATTAACCAAGCTCATTAGTGAGTGAGTGAGTGAGTTTAGTTTTACGCCGCACTCAGCAAAATTTCAGCTATATGGCGGCGGTCTCTAAATAATCGAGTCTGGACCAGACAATCCAGTGATCAACAGCATGAGCATCGATCTATGCAATTGGGAACCGATGACATGTGCCTGACCACCCGATCCCGTTAGTTGCCTCTTACGACAAGCATGGGTTAAGCTCATTAGTAGTAATAGAGGGTGAATAATCAGTCATAGAGTAGTTTACTGTGCAAAACTAACAAACAGACTGTCTGTCTGAACAAATAAATACATTCATAGAAAAGGAATATTTTGATGCACAAACAACTTCAGTCAGGTGATGATGTTAGGATCTACACTGAAACGTCGCATCTATTGCAATAAAGAAGGTGTCTAGCCATGGAAAGTGTTCCTCTTCATCAATACCAGCTTCTAAATGTCACTTAAAGAATTAAATACCAAATTGAACCAAAAATATGACAATTAAATAGAAAACAGTGAATTACAATCATATATGACTCGTCATTAATTGAAGGCTTTTTCAGTGTTTCAGTTTTAAATATTTGCTTTCATGATAGGCATGAGAATTTGGTGTACCGGCAAGCCATATTTTTGTAGGTTCAGGGAAGTACCCGCTCCATGGTTCGGAGGCTGTCATCAGTCCTGCGGGGTAGTATGGTAGTCCTTCATAGTAGCTGGCGATCAAGGGCCATACAATTGTACTGAAACAAACATTTGATCATTTGATCGTTTGGCTGTATTCGAGGATGTTTCGTTTACTGATTTGCGTTTACATGATCACAATTCTGAACAAGTCATATTTCATAGGCACATAAACATATTATCAAGATTACGGATTCTTTTCCAAGCTTACAGGGTCAAATGGTACACAATAAGTACCACTTTCATCATGTCTTACCCTGTCATGTTTCCATTGACATAGTTCCTGTTCCAGTTCTGTAAACAGAAGATTACTTTCATGTGTTATTTGTCCCAAGTGACATTATTCAGTTTAGAAGGGGCGGATAACTCGTATTACTGTCATCCAGCAGATTGCTGTGTTGTCACCAGATTGCTGTGTTTCACTCAGTGCGACATAATGTTTCATTCACAATACGAATGATGCGATTCAATAACAAACCAATATTACAATATATAGAATTGTTAGAATAGTACGATTTTTTCCCGATAATAATGGGGCTGTGAATTATATTCATCCATCCTCAACGACAGGATTACTTCATCGGAGCATCCTAACATTAGATACTGATCAGTTTTAAACGAAGGTGTAAATCATAGATCGGGCGTTATATTTATCGAATGTTTACAATACGTCATTTCCATTTGTCACTGACGGGAACAACATAATTAGAAAGAAGAATTCAGTTTAAACACAATCTGACCGGGAATCTGTGCAACAAACATACACAGTGCGCATGGCAAGTGTCATTTGTCATCAGCTCCTCTGTTACCTAAACAATATTATCGTCTTTTTAGACGGATTACGAAACACTGGATCAAGTTCATTTTCGCTCTCCCATACCAGCTTTACAACAGTGTCAGAGATTCCAGAACACGACTGGCATTTCAGTAAAGAGTGAGAAGAAACTGATCTTTGCATGAATCCGAGCAAAAGGTGGCTGCATTAAAGTCACCTAGGTTTATTCCTTTTCTCCGATTATTTTGTCTGGTCTCTGTTTGTGTGGTAATAAGGCCTATGGTTTTGCTAGCTATGATGGGTAAGGTAGAGACAATGCGTATATACACAAGTTGGTGGGTGTTCTCTTTGGGAACTGGGAGCGGTGAGTTCAAAGCGTTAGCTCTGCATGTCGAAGACTCGGGTTCGATTCCCCACATGGACACAATGTGTGAAGCCCAATTCTGGTGTCCCATATCGTGATATTGCTTGAGTATTGCTAAAGCGGCGTAATACTATACTCACTCACCCTTAAGAATTGGTTTGCTGGGTTATTGTCTCCATGGGCCAATGTTAAGATAGCCTTGTCCTTAAAAGTGGTCTGAAGAATCTTTTTAACAACAATCATGAAACAACAAGTCTCTTTTATATATCTCAGAGACAACTGAGTAGGCGGGGCTTTTTCAGTTTAAGCAAACTGATGTTACTCCAGCTATATCCATTCTCCATAACAAATGGCTGTGTAACTCATTACACGGAAGAGGCAACCGTTTCATAGTGTGCTTGATTCAAAAACGCCCTTTTTAAGTTTAAGGCTAAATTCAAAATAAAATTTTAACGCAGTTTAACCGCGCAAGTCCGGAAACCTCAGATTTCGGACGATCACATTTGGAACGATCACATTTGGGATTTAATCAGAGAAATTCATCCGTGCCTATCCATATGGACGGTTTTACAGGCAATGCATCGTCCGTATTAACGAAGTTACACTGTGTGATCAACCCTATGGTTTAAGCATCACCACTTCTGCGTTATCCTCCGACGCCCAGAGACGCTTCCCTGTCTTCACCGCTGTCGGTGTGCTTCTTGTGGTGGGGTAATGCGACCTGAATGTAACGTGTAGAGGGTTGAATTAGACTTTAGAAATAACACAGTGTTATCTTAGGGTTATTGATAGTAATTAAGTTATCGTAAATCCGATAAGAGAATATAAAACGTTAATGTCAGAGAACAATCAGTCCCCATCAATGATTGACATCATGATGACAGCTGCACATACCCATAGCATATAAAGCGTCTGTGCATTTTCTTCGTTAAGACCACAGGGGTTCAAATCACTGTTTGGACAATAAAAAAAATTTAAATCTCGAGTTTTGCGATCATATATTGTTTTTTTATATTTTTTCATATGAGTAACATTATTTTTCAGATTTGAACGATATCGGTGAAGAAATAAAGATTTTAGAAAAACCTACCGCTTCACTCATTACAGTCAATGGCAGCTACACATACCCAATAGCATAAAGCGCCTGTGCAAGCTCAGGGTCCGCCAAAATGTCATCAGCTATATCCCAGTGGAAATTGTCGGGAGCCACGATATGTGTGTCTACTAGACCGTGTCTGTCTAGTGTCTTCCTCAGCGTCTGTAACAGAGACATGTGGTTAAAGGGAGGTTGCAGATAACCGACGAGTCGACATAGGCTTCATGGAACACAGAAAGTCAACCATTAACAACAATCCGAGCTTGTCTTACGAAATTTGGCCAGTACTTACTTTTATGTACTCAACGTTGTACATTCTCTCATTCCATATCTGTAAAATAAGATATTTGAAAGTAAGGTTATTAAAGCTTTTGAGGCATGTAAAGTGTTGTTTCTAACAAACCATCACAAGACAGAAGGTCCAGACATGTTCTGATGTTGACCCTCGCAAAACAGTCACATGTAAATCATTTGTCTGATAGAACAGACAGCCTCCATCCTCAATGCTGAAGACGATTCAAAGCACTGGTACTTACAGCTCATCAAACCAACTTCTTCAACCATGATTAAAGGTGAATTTGTGGAATACATTTAACTAAATGTAAATCAGTGGCCCAAAACTAAACTTGGCAAGGGTTGCCCTGTCGTCGAAGGCATCTCAATGCAGAGTTGCTTCCCTTTGTGGCGATCCGCTTATGCCTTGATCATAACTCCATGCCGTTTTACGCTGGGATGCCACAATGCGGTACGTGATTAATTGTACGTGGATGCCAATAATTCAATGGTGATTGTATGTACTGCAAAGAGTAACTAATCAATAAGATATATTAAACCCAATGCTTTTGAGCGCACAGGGTCATGGAGTCCTTGTGAAAGCCCCAGTCTAACTTGTACCGGTTGTGCTCACTGATATCACACAAAGAGTTATTAAATTGGATTCAAATGAAAATTAAATGCTATGTGGGATGCCTATATTGCTTCCCATCCTCATCTGTGTTAGTATTCTATCTATGTCGTTATAATACAGTTGCTAAGTGGAACTGTTCGGCGCGATGGGGTAGCTTTGTGGGTAAAGTGTCCGCTCTGGTTCGATTCCCTACATGGGTACAGTGTAAATCCCATTTCGTGTGTCCCCAGTCGTGATATTGATGTAACATTGATAAAAGCGGTGTAAAACCTTACTCACTCACTGAAATAACTTTTCAAAGCGATATACTAAAATTCCCGCTTGAGCAGGTAAGTACTACCCTGACTACCCGTGATGATCCGGGTTAGAAATGACCTTCAGTAACCCATGCTAGTCGTAAGAGGCGACTAACGGGATCAGGTGGTCAGACTAGCTGACTTGGTTGACACACGTCATTGTATCTCAATTGCGTAGATCTATGCTCATGCTGTTGATCACTGGATTGTCTGGTCCAGACTCGATTATTTACAGACCGCCGCCATATAGCTGGAATATTGCTCAGTATGGCGTAAAACTAAACTCACTCACCCAACGAATTCGGTATATTAACAACACACGTGAAACTCTTGTACTCACCCCAACATAGTCTATGTGTAGCCCGTGGGTAGCGTTAGCTCCCAGGACCCAGTTGACAATGTACGAGGCGGTCTGGTCGGAGGTGTCGTACAGGTTCCACCCCACCCAGCCGGGCCACCCCCAGGGGAGACCGTATAACTTGATGTTGGGGTTCCTCTAAAAGTACACAGACAGCAGCTTTGTTATATTATACTGACGTACAAAAGAAAGTACACAGCTCCCACTTTGGGATTATTCTTCCCCCAAAAAGCAACGTAAATGCTTTGAAAAAAGTGTTTTCATTGTAACTTAAGATCACAAAACTTTGTTTTGTTCTTCAGTTTAGATCCTGGTGTTTACTAGGGGTGAAACGGTATACGCGGTATTGGTTCGGTATACCTTAATGCTATCCACAAATTCGGTTTTCGTACCGTTCTTCTATATAATCATAAAATGACAGTTTTGTTCATTCAAAACAAGCCGCCATATAGCTTGAATATTGTTGAGTGCGGCGTAAAACTAAACTCACTCACTCACTTAAAATAACAAGGATTATGGTTATGTTACTAAACAATGTAAGGTTAGGTTCTTGTTGTCAATTTTCTGCATTATGATTATATCCCATATACCGAACCGAAGGCCTTGTACCGCAATACGCACTGCACCGTGGTAAGGGCGTACCGTTTCACCCCTAGTGTTTACCATGACTTTGTATAGTAACAATATTGTTATCATGCAGTAACGTTACATAATCTTGATCATGTAAACTTTATTGTTTACGACCTCTGTCGGTTCACATTTTCTTCATATTTTTGCCCTATAAATATATTCCTCAAACTTTATGAGATACGAAACCACGTGGATTGTGCACTGACCTGTTTGGCCTCTTTCATCAACCACCATTCATATCCCCTGGTGTAATTCTGATCTGTGGCTGTGCGCATGTGCGTTGCCTCGGTCCCGTCTGATGGGTGAGAAATGTAGAATACAACATGGAAGCCAAAATGGACACAACATTCACTCACCCTTTCTCCATAAACGGTACTGCAGGTGAAAGTTTCGGACAAAAAAAACACAATTCAATTTACCATGCGTAAATTTTGTTCTAGCTTAGAAATATAAAGCCTTGTATACTTGTGTACATGTAATTATGCCTTCCAGTGTGTCATGGGGCGGTGGGGTAGCCTAGTGGTTAAAGTGTTAGCTCGTAACGCCGAAGGCCCGGGTCCGATTCCCCACATGAGTACAATGTTTGAAGCACATTTCTGGTGTCCCCCGCTGTGATGTTGCTGGAACATTGCTACAAGCGGCGTAAAACCCAACTCACTCACTCACTCCAGTGTGCCATATATACATAAACATGTGTTTATCATACGGTAGGAATCGTACAATGGACTTAGCTCTCAAGGGAGATTGCTTATGCTTATGGTGAGAGTTTTGTCTCTTTTTTTTAAGGAGTTGACGCACTATATTTAGTTAAAGTTACAGAAAGTTAAAGCATAACAAATTTCGGTATTGCAGTTACATGTGGAAACAATTAGGGGAAACTATCTAAAACTATGGTTAGTTGGTTTACACATCGGGGATACAATACCTAGTATATACGGCTGGATAAGGACGCTATCCAAAGTGTTTTCCGATCACGGTCACAAGAGCACACATAAGTCGTGCCATTTGTGTTAGTCATTACAATGTGGACTGGGACGTTTTCCATGGGGCAAGAAAGAGGTGATAGTAGAAAGAGGTGCACGTGCATTATGTGAACACCTGCGCATCAGAGAATCAGTACATACACATGGGTTCTATTTCTAATGGTTATAAATTAATTTTGGTATTTCTCACGACTCGACTTGTTTAAGCACTGTTTGGACACGAGTTTTTGCACCACATCCGATTTCTTGTACATGTCATTCGATGTCTGTCTCCCATTCTACCAGTGGTTACCATGGCCTCAAGCTTGTGTCCGCCACTTCCGCCCCAGTGTGACCGAAAGATGCCACGTTGTAAATAAGAATCAAGTTCACTTTCATAGACATTTAAGCCACCAATAAATGAATAAAAGTATTAAAGGAGCTCCAAGCCAAGCCATTATTGTCTTGAAACGGTCAAGAGAGAAGAAAAATGCCTTTATAACTTACTTTACAATATGGACAATGCATTTACCGTTAGCTCATCCCACTTACCTGAACTCTGCGCATCCGACCCGATTTCCACTTTCAGTATATCTAAGGAGGCACCGTAATTAGGCTGGGACAAAGGGACAAAATATTTAAGGAAGAGAGTTTATATGGATGTCAACTTCATTATTATCAAGTGAATGAATAGTATGAGGCAGAGAGCATATATATGTACATGTAAGAGCAACAAATGTACTAAGACCACAAAGATGCAGGTTAAAGAATGGAGTTACCAATACCAATACATGTAATTGTAATAATTTCTGTCATTGTTTATTACAAATTGTAAACCAAAAGTCACTGTGTTCTTTAATCTGACTGGTTGAAAAACGTGATCAAATGGTATTTGATTCCCGGAAATTCTCTGCGTATTAATACATACAAACATCGCTCACACCATTGTATTGTTACGTCGTCAGCTGTGATGACGTCATTCAAATCATATTGTGACGTAAAGTCCGAATGACATCACCAATGAGCAGTTCCAGATGCAACCATGGGAGACAGCCGATACGGCCGTCTGATGACATTTCACTGCTGTACCCGTACTCGATGTCAATGAGTGCAGACACAAAAAAAAACGTGTGTGGACCTTTTGGTTTACTTTTGTGTTTACAATGTCGATAAACATCATGTGTTGGCGAATTTCAGGGTGTTACTGAGTATTTGAAGCACGGGAATATTTCATTTGAAACCTCCGTCTGACGCCGTCGGTACCAAATGAATTCCCGTGCTTCAAATACTCATTAACACCCGGAAATTCGCCAACACATGATGTTTATTTCCTAAGCAAATGTTTGAAACATGGGGATCAGATATCCTTTGAAGCTTCAATTACCCTACCTTGAACAGCAAATCCAGAATCTCATTTCGCTGTTTCTCGGGGTAGTTTACCAATAACTTGGACGTTGCCTGAGAAACAAAAACAAACAAACAATACATTCACAAAAACGACGAAGTGGTCAAAAGGATATTTATTTTATTAATGTAATGTTTATCTAAATATCTAAATATTAGTACAATTCAGATAATACAACTGCTGGTGACCTAGCTATGCACAATGTGAGTAAATGCCCCGTTCTTCACTATATCAGTCTACCACGTGTCATAAACGACTAGGTTTCCGTTATATTTCTACTTATTTTGTTTAGATTCCTCATTTATTTTCTAGTTCAAGATTGTTATTTTTGACGTAACCCGCGTATCAACCAGCAACGCATTTGGTAATTTGGCAAACCAGGAACATCTTTCTATCATCTTTCATGTATGTCCAGTTGTGCAGTTTAATTGCTATGGATAATAAAATTGAGTGGCTGGGAAATCGAAGCAAATATTACTACGTTGAAACCTCGACCTGCCATTTTTTCCATAAATTGGTTAGCAACAATATCATATTTCCTTGTGGTCTTATGATGTGATGTATATTCAGTCTGTGTCACATTTAATGTTTACACAAGAATTATGACGTTTAGTCATTTGCTCAAATGGACAAAGACCTTTTGTTTTTGCTTAGTTCTAAACATAGTGTCAAGGCCTTGCACAGTATATAGATAACTTATATAAGTCTCTAACAGTGCACAGTACGGTTCTATGATATATTTATCATGAAGGTAACTCTGAAGACAATCGAGATGACTATCCAGATGTCATCCGACGTCACATGATAGTCCTTGACTCTCAATGCCAGGAAACATGTATAACAACCGACTAAAGTCACGACTAAAATGAAATACAGATGATAGTACCATCTCAGTTTTCAAGGTTGTCGTGAATGAGCCTTCAGTCAATTAAACAATACATATTCCGTGCATCTTACAATCAAATAGCCCTGTAGCCCGGAACATGTATAACAAGCCTAGTCACATGTCATGATGAAGATAACATGCTTGCATACAGAACAAAATACTCACCCCACCACCGCTGATGGCCCCGAACCCATCGAACTGCCTCCCCAGTCCTCCAGTGTTGTCGATTATATAACTGTCACTCAACACAGACAGCACGACGGAGAATGCAAACGCCAAGGTGAACATGGCTGACGCGAAATAGACGACTGTATCAGCTGACAACTGGCCTACCTGCTACGGAAGATACGTACTGACTGATATGACGAGTCTCACACTGGCAGGTGGTAACATATGCTGTAGGTGTTTATGAATAACTAAAGGGATATCATTAAGCAAGGGCAACCTGTAAACTATCTTAAAGCTACATCCGCGTGACGCGGGACTCAAACCCGTTGCACACCCGTGTGACACGGGACTCACACGCGTTGCCCACCCGTTGCATACCCGTGCCACATGCGTGTTACACGCGTTCTCAACGCGCGTAAGGGGAATGAACTTTTGGGCAGTAGTGTACATCACTCACAGGTACTGAAGCACAGTGTCGTTATACTCTTCAATAATTATTCAATCTTCTTCATGCCTATCTCTGCGCAACTCAAAGTTAATTCAGGTATGCTTGCTTTTAAATGTATAGTTTTTGTATTTTAAAGGCACAATGTCACACCACACTTCACACGCTCTTTACGAATATCCTACGCACAACTTGTGATTGAAACCAGTTCGGCAAACACCGACAACACCGCGTGCGACAGTTTTCGATGTACGGAGCAATCGTTTACATTCCATATATGGCAAGTGTTATCTGTTTGGAAGCTGTTCGGGTCGAAGTTTCAATTATTGATTTCAGGCAAGTCGTAGGGGATAATAAAGTATTTTATTGCTTCAGTAGGAAACTAAAGTGAGTGCATATGCTCCCAATATAAAAAGTATAGGCCAAAATATTGTCGAAAATGTGTGACATTGTGCCTTTAAGCGACGCTGCAGGTTATCTGGAGGTCTGGAGACGTATCAGCGCATTAACACCTTGAAGAGATACCTCCCATCCTTTCTCTATTGCCACTACCCCACGGAGAATATAATGCTAATTAAGAGATCGCACAGGCACATTGTACATACAATGTACTTGGATGCGCATACACGCGTATGCTCGTATACGCGTTATTTCTACTTTAAAAGCATTTGGTTAGCCTATTTATATTCCATGAAATCAAGCAGATATTTGATATAAGATACATGTTGATCAGTTTACAGTGCAAATATTATAACAGTTTAATCATGATTAAATAATTATAATGATTAGGATGTAGTTGTGTGGCATTTCACCAATAAGGAGAACAAGATATCAAGAAGACACCCATCTTCACTTAAAGTGTGTTTGCGGGAAAGGTTAGCACATTTTGCCCTACCTCTCGTACCCGTTTCAAACACACGCAAAGGCAGGTCCCCAGGACAAACCGGGAGCTTATGGCACAAACACTTCATTCGCCACTTCTGTGTTAGTCAGAAAATAATCGATCTGGTCTGCTTAGATGGCTTTCTTGAATAGCCCCAACCCATGCATCAAGAAACACACACACACACACACACACACACACACACACACACACACACACACACACACACACACACACACACACACACACACACACACACACACACACACACACACACACACACACACACACACACACACACACACACACACACACACACACCAAATGCAATAAAAGGCTACACAGCGTGCAAGTTGAATAATGGATCCTACAACAATTGTCTAATGTGGGATAAATTCGAAAATATAGGTATGGTCTTGAAAAACCGATAAGAGATTCAGGACCAGTGGGAGTCTCGACTTGGACTAATTTTGGACTATTGCATTGCAGAAAGGGTTGGGCGGAGAGTTTGGAGTATAAGACAGACTACTGACATGGCTAAGGTCCCAGCGATACAGAGCAAATGTGGCTCGTACAAGGAGGAAATGCAGTTTATAAATCCTAATCTCCCAGTCATATTAGTATTCGTATTTTGAAAAATAAATATATAGATCTGGGCAAGCAGAAGATTAACTTTATTTAACACACGCTCTGCTGATCATAGCTGGTTACTTTATAATGTCTGTTGGAACAGTGCAGTTGACGACAGCCGGCTTGGTAGTGTTCATCTCGGCGAGGTCTGTCAGTATTTTAGGACTGACGTTGTAATGTTAACGTTGACGTTCATCAGCTGATGAAGATAGTGATTCACGTGAGCCAATTCCATGATGCGCTAACTATTGTCAATTCATTAACTCTCTGCTTGACTGACAACGTCGTCATGCGACATACTGAAATCTGGAAATGAACGACAGTTGGCTTGGTAGTATCCATCTGGGCGAGGTCACCTACTACTATCAATATGTGTATATGATTTCAAGGTTTCCCAATGCATCTATGTGTGTTTTCTTTAAACAGGGGATAATAACACGTGGGCGATAACATATATAATAATGTAGATTACAAACATTGAAAAAGCAGGGGATATTCCATTTAGGGGTGATTTATTTATTTATTTATTTATTATTATTTTATTTTTATTTTTTTTATTTGTTTTTTTATTTATACATTTTTCCCCCATTTTTTTGGATGGAGGATAGGGGCGTAAGGTTTTCTTTATATTTTGTTTGTTTGTCGTTCATTTGTGGTTTTATATGAGGAATGGGCAAGTTTTCGATTTCGTGCAAGGGTTTTCATGATATGCGCCTGAACATGGTCGGAGTAAAATTCGAAATTTACCGTGAAACATGTCAATGTGTTGCTGGACATTTCAATGATAAGAACTAGACTAAAAGTCGTTTTAACCTCAATTAAACGTTGTTCTCACGTCAGGAACGGCTACGTGGACTTGGCATGTTGGAAGTTGGAACAAGACATCATTGTGCCCAGACGTGACGTTTCACAGTTAGTAATTAGCAGATTACTATCACCATATCGACAAACAAATCACGTTGATGACAGACGTCGATAAGGTCGACCAAGTGCGACAACTGGCACACAAGACCATTTCATCAACACCATTGTGTTAGGACGAAACCGTGGTTGAAGTACCTCTCAAATTGGAGATGGGTTTCACAGATGTACAGGTGTGATTTGATTGACAGATGAAATATGCGTGCCCGACGTCTACGTGTTATCCCACGATTGACGTGCCGTCACATTACAGTAACACGTCGTAGGTGTCAAGAGCAGCAACGCTGGACCAATCGTCGTTAGGTAAACGTTATATTTTCGGATGAAATCAAGGGTTGTTTTGGACTTCCTTAACAACAGAGAGTAGCGCGTGGGTGAATGAGTGAATTTAGGTTTACGCCGCTTTTAGCAATATTCCAGCAATATCACGGCGGGGGACACCGGAAATGGACTTCACACATTGTACCCATGTGAGGAATCGAACCCGGGTCTTCGGCGTGAAGAGCGAACGCTTTAACCACCATGGTGTAGCAAAGACGGAATCAGGGTTTTCATAGACAGAATGATCACTTTTTGGTGTGTTGGGTTTTTAGTGGTTGTATGGGATTGGATCACTGTGACTGGCAGAACACCTTTACATGTATCCATGGACGTGTCACTGGGCAGTAACATATGGACGTGTCACTGGGCAGTACTACCGTGCCAACATATGGACGTGTCACTGGGCAGTACTACCGTGTCAACATATTGACGTGTCACTGGGCAGTACTACCGTGCCAGCATATGGACGTGTCACTGGGCAGTACTACCGTGCCAACATATGGACGTGTCACTGGGCAGTACTACCGTGCCAACATATGGACGTGTCACTGGGCAGTACTACCGTGCCAACATATGGACGTGTCACTGGGCAGTACTACCGTGCCAACATATGGACGTGTCACTGGGCAGTACTACCGTGCCAACATATGGACGTGTCACTGGGCAGTACTACCGTGCCAGCATATGGACGTGTCACTGGGCAGTACTACCGTGCCAACATATGGACGTGTCACTGGGCAGTACTACCGTGTCAACATATTGACGTGTCACTGGGCAGTACTACCGTGCCAGCATATGGACGTGTAACTGGGCAGTACTATCGTGCCAACATACTGGAGAAACCCGTGGTGCCATTTGCTCACCGGCATGGACGTTGGTTTTACGTTTAGTTAACTGGTTTAGTTATTTGTCAATGTGATAGTTACTGTTTGGAACGTACATGTATAGATGTTTGATACGGTGTTCTGAGTGTAAGTCTCTATGTAGCTATGAGTTTATAGAATGTACGAGATGCTCAGTTTGAATGTTGTATTGTCTGTCATATCTTTGTCTCGACAAAGAAAGTTATGGAATTCCCCACATACACACGGTTATATAATACAAGAACGGCCTATCAGCTAGCGTCTGAGGAAACCGAATCAGTGGAAGCTGCGACTGATGGCTGGTTTTAACGACTACATGATACGTACGTTTGTCACGTGTGTTAAGAGAATGTCAAACTATTTTGAGGACAGGATCCATCCGGAATGTGCATATCTATCTGTATACGCTGGTGACACACATAACGCAAATTGAAGTCCCATCATAGATAGATGATAACATACGTCCTTGAAACGATCGTCTCATACCAGTTGATAACATAATTTTCGTCTCTGGGTTTTCATACAATACACTTTATAGAGCATACTGAAAGAAATGTTGAATAACTTTTATTTGTAATAGGGGAAATGATATGTCCAGGATTCGTTATTCTGAACTAATTTTTGGGTTTTGTAACAATTTCTGTAAATTCACATTTCTGGCGTCCCCCGCCGTCATATTGCTGGAAAATTGCTAAAAGCGGCGTAAAACTAAACTCACTCATTCACTCATCCATTCTCTGCTCTAGATACTATAAATTCGGAAATGTATAATCGTTTATATTTTTTGTTTTGTTATCTTAATCGTTTTCTTGGCAAATTGTTTGAATGACGGGTGGTACTGGTTATGGCAGGACATACTTACCCGTTTTCCCGAACACCTGGTGTCATCACTGATTTTCATATACACTTTGCTCTTTACATCAATTGGAATCTAATTATGAGAATAGTTAAGACAATGTATTCTATTCCACTGGCGTTATATATTTACATTCCCGACTGGCGCACTATACATGTAACATTTTGCATTCATTACAGATATTCCTGGAACGTCCCTCTGAATCTAACTTCTCTCCGTATTAGCAGCAAGAGAGATTTACAAGTGCAGTACTTGCATCATACAAATCGTGCACTATGTAGTGAGTTGGTTTTGAACGCCGCTTTTAACAGCTGTATAGATCTATGATGGCGTGTGGG